CGTGTGTGTGTGTGTGTGTGTGTGTGTACACACACACACGCACAGACCGGGGCATTCCTGTGCCCGTTTCAGAAAGTTGAAGGAAAATACAAATATAACACAAATGGAAGCCCAAACTGGGTCTGACTAGAAGAAAAGGAAGCGAAGATGACCTGATTTTGAGAAAAATAAATAAATGTGAAAGCGGATACATTTGCAGATGTGGGTGAAGCCTTTTGTTTTGATTCCTCTCTGTGGCCTGGTTCCGTTTGGGCACAGTATCAGATTAGGTTGCGTGAGTGTGTTTGTATGTTTTGCACAGGAATAGTACAAATGGGGTCACTCATACACTTTTTACAGTATCGTGCTGTCCCAAACCATTTTTTTTTGCTGGCTCAGATGCATCTTCTCACATTGTCCTTTTCAGCATGGTTTCAGCAACAGGCCGTTGCAGTACAGCTAAGCTCGGCTCAGTAGTGTGAAAAGGGTAAGCCTTTAGGCTTCCCTGGAAGCCTGGATTGAACTACTGGAAAAATGTCCATCCTCTTAGACGATGCCAACACCCCATTCAAGATCCATTTTCCCCACACTCAATGGTACAGCACAAACGCTAAGTTTAGAGTTGACTACACATCCTCCATCTCGGGACCCAAGATCAGCATCTCCAATGATGTTGAATGGGTAGGGTCTGGGTTTAGGGTTCTGAATGGGTCGGTCTGGGGTTAGGTCTGAATGGTAGGGTCTGGGTTAGGTTCTGAATTGGTAGGGTCTGGGGTTAGGGTCTGAATGGGTAGGGGTCTGGGGTTAGGGTCTGAATGGGTAGGGTCTGGGGTTAGGGTCTGAATGGGTAGGGTCTGGGGTTAGGGTCTGAATGGGTAGGGTCTGGGGTTAGGGTCTGAATGGGTAGGGTCTGGGGTTAGGGTCTGAATGGGTAGGGTCTGGGGTTAGGGTCTGAATGGGTAGGGTCTGGGGTTAGGGTCTGAATGGGTAGGGTCTGGGGTTAGGGTCTGAATGGGTAGGGTCTGGGGTTAGGGTCTGAAGGGATTAGGGTCTGGGGTGCTGATCTTGGATCAGTTCTTGAGAGGTGAAAGTAAACAAAGCTGCTCCAGGGTCTTTTCTTCTTCCAGAGCTCACTTAAGGAGGGTTGGAGGCAGGTAGGGGATTAGGGGACTTAATAGAAGCCTGTGGCGTCCCCGTCCTCCCATGCAGCTCGTAATAGGGATTAGCTCTGCTACCTGTAGCTGGGATGACCAAGAGAGCCTGCCAGGCTGATGCCTTAAAACCTGCCTGCTGCTTTAGCGGTTTGTTGTAGTCCTATTATTTTCTCATAATAACACTGCGTTATTGGAGTTTGTATATGGGAATCACCTAACTTATGAAAGCAGTTTGTCTTATGTTAGACCAGTGGTCAAATCAGTATGTTAGGTCATTAATGTTTTTCTCCCAGTTTGCCAGGCATAGCCTATTAACCTCAGTATCTATTTGTTGTTTTTAAAAAAAAGTTTTACAAATGCAGGAGAATTGCCTGGCTTTAAGAATGTGGTGTAGAAATATTTACCTCAGTTTCTGCACCTTCCCGAAACACCTAAGTTGTGAATGTGCTTTCTGCTCACTCTCTGTTAGCTAAATGAGTACAAACTATTTTCTGATAGTGTCAGAGCCAAGAGCCATGGTTGAGACAGATGACAATTTTTACATGTTTACAAACTAAACTCCTCGTGACCCCACTTTGTGCTGTTTAGAATTCCACAGAATAGTGTTTGAGTTGGCCATTGGCGAGGACCTAAACCGATCACTTTTCACTAAGCTTTACAGAACTTGCTCGTTTTCGTTATGCTGACATGGGGATTTTTGGAGTTCCTCGTCTCGTTGGTTTTGAGGAAGTGCCCTCGGGTAGCGCATTTCTGCTGTTTTGCAAACTCTCACATCCTCATTTCCAGCAGGCTTTAGTTAACCACTCGGCCTCAGGCAGTGGGGCCTCAGTCGGCTGGAGCCAGCCACTAAGATGGTAGGTGTCACGCAACATGCAGAACATGAGTTGTGTACACATGCGTGCGCAAACACCCACACACATTTTATAGATCCATACGTTTTAATGAAATATGTTTTATTGGAGTGTGACACAATGAATCACACGAGTGTTGATATCATTAGAAATGGATGACCGTTACGGTAGTTATTTAGATTCAAAATGGCATCAAATTGCCAAGAGAAAGGGAGAAACAGTCCAGTATCCACAACTGTGTTCAGTGTGAGTGTGAGAAAATCTCTTAGGATGAACTTCCATTGAGGTCTCTTCATCTCCTCACTGAGACGAGCCTCAATCCTGTGTGTGCAGGCAGCTGAGGGATGATGACGAGCGCTGACAGGTACGGGACGGGATCCCTCCTAATCCCCAGGATGGCAGGTTTTATCTGCCATGTTGCGCAACACCCGCTCCTCCCCCACTCCACCCTCTTTCTAAATGGGTGACTGCTCACACAGTAGCCCAGCCGTTGCTCATTCATGAGGAACTCACCCATGAGACATTACCCATAGAGCCACACCGTAGTCAGGAAATGCAGTATTCACTCAAATGTCTCACATGGCCAACTCTACGATGTGAAGTGTCTAAACTCTAATCAACTTAAGTGTATACTAGTTTTTAATTTTGTATTCACAGTTAAGGAGCTCATGAAGGTTTTGGGCTTCTGTGTTTTTGCCAATGGCACTTGCTTTGACACGAAAGTTAGATATTTTACTATTTCAAGTGAAGTCAATGTGACTCTTTAAACTTAACTCCTCTCTTTAGCTCATATCCTGCCCCGTCTTCCACTCCAGCTGTGTTGAGTTAAAATACTGTACCTGTCTGAAGGCGCCATCCCTTCATCATGGGGTCAGATATGGGCTCTCTCTTAGTGCTCAGTTCTGGTTAATCCAGTAAGAACTGGACTCAGGCCAAACCATTTGTGTTCCAGATCTGTGTTCCAGATCTGTGTTCTAAGTGCCATGTACACATACGCACACACACAGCTAGAGGACCAAAAAAACTAACAAATAAAGTGACGTAATCAACGGCCAATGTTTACTTTTTTAATTGGGGCTATGACAGTCTATTACAAATCAGTCTGACAGTACTTTTGACAGTATTTCAAGCTGAAGGAAGTATGGTTTGATGTGACTGAAATGCGTCAGAATGGGAAGTTCAGAAGATCATCAGGCAATAATTGTGTATGATCTAATGTCTAGAGTGGAACATAATCATTGATGTTATTTTTCCCCCAGTCTGATTTAGTGCCTGGTCTTGTCCACTCTGTTCTAATGAGTCCTGCACAGCTTGTGGGCATTGTAAGGTAACAGAAGACACATACCTGTTCCTGAGAGTCTTATCTTTCAGTGATTGGTCATAATATTAAAAGATAGAGCCACATTTGTAGGAAGGGGAAGAAAGCACTCTGTTTATTACAACCGTCTCTAGCGGCTACCGGAGGTTACTGACTTAACCCTGTTTCTATGCCCAAGCACAATTTTTTTTCTACCACAGTTTCTCTCATGAAAAACGCTGCCATAGAACCTTCCCCTCACCCTCAGGCAAGGACATAGATCCTCATCCTACCCCACCCTAACTCCACCATGCAGCTGTAGGCTCACGCTGGGCCAAGAGGTACTCTATTATGGAAGCACACTACATTAGGATTTATTCACGTGCTGTTATCTTTTTCACACGCCGTTTTTCTTTTTCACTTAATGGAATAATCCACTCACAATATTTTTGTATTTTTTCCATTAGTCCACTGTTCATGCAGTCCCGACAGTTTCAGTGCCACTGTCTCTCTCACATGTTGTTTTTCTCTCACCCACATTTGCTCTCTGTCTCCTCTCTCTTTTTCCCTCTCTCCCCCCGGATATTTTCTCTCTCACAGGGCATATCTCTCTCTCTGTTATTATTATTATTATTTTTGTAAGTTTTACCCCCCTTTTTCTCCCCAATTTCGTGATTACGATCTTGTCTCATCGCTGCTACTCCCCAACAGGCTCGGGAGAGGCGAAGGTCGAGTCATGCGTCCTCTGAAACATGACCCGCCAAACCGCACTTCTTAACACCCACTCGCTTAACCTGAAAGCCAGCTGCACCAATGTGTCGGAGGAAACACTGTTCAACTGACGACCGAAGTCAGCCTGCAAGTGCCCGGCCCACCATGAGGAGTCGCTAGAGCGCGATGAGCCAAGTAAAGCCCCTCTGGTCAAACCCTCCCCTAACCCGGATGACGCTGGGCCAATTGTGCGCCGCCCTATGTGACTCCCGGTCACAGCCGGTAGTGACGCCGCAACACTGCGATGCAGTGCCTTAAACAGCTGCGCAACTCGGGAGGCCTTCTCGCTCTCTCTTATTCATTCACGTGTATTGCCATCCTCCCATTTCCTGGAGCAACCACTTCCGTGACTGAGTGAGAATCCCAGTGGAGGACCATATCCCTGTTGAAGCACAGAGCTCTCAGACCACACTCATCATTACTGGGCACATCTCCCGCTCCCTGGGGTGGGCAGAAAGCACACTGGGAGATTCTCCCACAACCTCAAAGTTCCTCTACACTCAGAATGAACATTCACACAAAAACGCACACCCACACATAGTTTCTTCTCAGTCTCACTGGGGTGGCTACGAATGATGTCTGTTGGCTGATATCCCCCACAAACCTTGAACACAAACATGCCACACTCTTGCACTCTCTCTCAAACACACCCATGCATGGCCACATTAATCATCAGACTCCACACCTTTGCAGGCACGCGCTGAGACGTAAACTCTTTGCAGAGCATGACTTCACACAGATCAAGTCTCATGAGGCCCAGGAGTAAAGCAAACAGTCCTTGGCAACCGTTCAAGCGAAATGTGGTAGCAACCCCTCTAAGCTTGGCACGGGACGCACAGGGGTCCTGAGTAAGGCCGTGTAGAGGAGGCCTTGCCCAGACAAACAAGCAACAGTTGATTTTGACATTTCACGTCCCCCCACCAACTCCTCAGCTGATGCGGTTTTCTCATGACCTCCGCAACAAAGGAGCACTGTGTGCCCATGGCCTGGAAAGAGCTACTTCGTAGGTGGGGTGGGCATGGAGGAAAAACAATTACCTTTATCCCTGAGCTGGCGCTTTTGCGAGATGTCTCCTGCTAACAGAGCTTGGAGAAGGACTGATTGGAGTAGTGAAAGGTGACCTTCCACACAGTGAAACTAGTGTTAAACTAGCGTGAGGTGGCAAAAGCTCCTGAGGCAACATCTAGGGCTGCCAAGTTAACCGACTGGATGTTACATCTGGGTCGTCAACGTGACTCGACCGCATAAGTTCTTTTTGATTTAAATAATTGTCAGTAGCAGTTACCACTAGCGGCTTGCTTGAGTCATCAATTATCAAGCAAAAGTTGAACACACAAGCATGGCTTGTTGCCTCAGAGTTCCATAGTTATATTTCACTTCCTCTGCAGCAACCTTTGCGGCTAAGTAATGTCAACAGTTTGCTAGTCATGGCACCAATGTAACTGATCATTTGGGGTTGTTGGTGCAACTTCAGATCCTGTTAGTGTGCTGAGCTGAAACGCAGGCATTCACTTTGCTGAGCTGTACTTGCTTTAGGAGTAACCTTGCCCGAGGCCTAAAGACAAGTGTTGCCTACCTTTGCTACACTAACGCCAACATTTTCAACTGAAATCACATATTCTTCATGTAGGGCTATGGTGCTCTGGTCTGTTCAAAACATATTTATTGGCTGAATACATGACTAATTTGTTTAAAATATTCAGATTAACCTTTGTGGAGAGGTAGAATTTGTTTTCAATGCAAGGGAATTAAAACCTGAAGACGAGAATTCTTATCAAAAATCCCTGCATCATTTTTAACATCGTTATGATTGTCGTATGATCATCGCACTGATTCTAGGGTGATAAATATAGTGGCTGACGTAAATTGTTCCCCCAAACACTCTGCTTCACTGACACAAACCAGTCAAACCACCACACCATTTTCACTGCAGCTCATATAGAGTAAAACCATATTTGGTCAAACTTTGGACTGTTGCCTTAAAAGGCTACTAAACTCAGCAAAAATAGAAACGTCCTCACTGTCAACTGCATTTATTTTCAGCAAACATAACGTGTAAATATTTGTATGAACATAACAAGAGTCAACAACTGAGACATAAACTGAACAAGTTCCACAGACATGTGACTAACAGAAATTGAATAATGTGTCCCTGAACAAAGGGGGGATCAAAATAAATGGCCCTAGCCCTCACCCTCCGATCCAACAGGTCCCAGACGTGCTCAATGGGATTGAGATCAGGCCTCTTCGCTGGCCATGGCAGAACACTGACATTCCTGTCTTGCAGGAAATCACGCACAGAACGAGCAGTACGGCTGGTGGCGTTGTCATGCTGGAGGGTAATGTCAGGATGAGCCTGCAGGAAGGGTACCACATGAGGGAGGAGGATGCCTTCCCTCTAACGCACAGCGTTGAGATTGCCTGCAATGACAACAAGCTCAGTCCGATGATGCTGTGACACACCGCCCCAGACCATGACGGACCCTCCACCTCCAAATCGATCCCGCTCCAGAGTACAGGCCCCGGTGTGACGCTCATTCCTTCGACGATAAACGCGAGTCCGACCATCACCCCTGGTGAGACAAAACCGCGACTCGTCAGTGAAGAGCACTTTTTGCCAGTCCTTTCTGGTCCAGCGACGGTGGGTTTGTGCCCATAGGCGACGTTGTTGCCGGTGATATCTGTTGAGGACCTGCCTTACAACAGGCCTACAAGCCCTCAGTCCAGCCTCTCTCAGCCTATTGCGGACAGTCTGAGCACTGATGGAGGGATTGTGCGTTCCTGGTGTAACTCAGGCAGTTGTTGTTGCCATCCTGTACCTGTCCCGCAGGTGTGATGTTCGGATGTACCGATCCTGTGCGGGTGTTACACGTGGTCTGCCACTGCGAGGACGATCAGCTGTCCGTCCTGTCTCCCTGTAGCGCTGTCTTAGGCGTCTCACAGTACGGACATTGCAATTTATTGCCCTGGCCACATCTGCAGTCCTCATGCTTCCTTGCAGCATGCCTAAGGCACGTTCACGCAGATGAGCAGGGACCCTGGGCATCTTTCTTTTGGTGTTTTTCAGAGTCAGTAGAAAGGCCTCTTTAGTGTCCTAACTGTGACCTTAATTGCCTAACGTCTGTAAGCTGTTAGTGTCTTAACGAAAAAGGGACGTTTCTTTTTTGCTTAGTTTTTATATACCATGTAGTGAAGCAGACACTGCTCTTCAGAGTTCAAGCGGAACTAGTCTTGTCCACCAGTCGTGTGTCTGGCAACTGTGAACCTGGCAAACCAGGCGAAAGCAGAACAAATACATTCACAAGTCTTCAAAAAGAACAGTTTCCGTGAAAAGCGAGAAATAGGCCTGATCAATGTAATACATTTTTCTGTTGACTGGTTTTGAGGAATTTCCTAGATTTATTAATTTAGTTCACTCACGGTCAGGGGCGGTGTGTTCAATAGGGCGATATGGGCGACGCACTGCCAAACGGGAAAAGGAAGGGATTTTTTTTCTAATCAATTATATCACGGCAACAGTAGTTATCAGTGTTCTAATCTGATCTGACTGCCACTAAATGTCAAATCAGGCTAAAGTCGTGCTTCAAATGGCCCCGCCCGTTTTTGGGGCGATTTCAGTCAAGTTGAAAATCGCCCAGAAGTCTGTCATAGACTCTGATGTAAAATCAATTTTTTTCAAATTTCAAAGCTTTCAATACAATCTCTATGTGTTTCTGAGGGCTTGCACTTACACGCTTTCGTCATACGTGACGTAACCATGAACGTAACTAAGAAAATAGCGGCTAGCAGCGTCTCTGTTGCGACCTGCAGTGTGGCGTTATCTTATGTTTTTAATTTGTACACTTAGTGGCGTTATTTTATGTTTTTAATTTGTACACTTAGTTTACAAACATTCTGCCAACCATGGATTTCCAGTGGTGGGTTTTGGACTGATCTTGTTGATCGTGTACATACCCGCTACGAACGGACTAAATAATGAAAACGCTGCTGGCAGCGGAATCCAATACAGCTGGGAGACTTGGCTGGATGACAGAGACAGTCACAGGGAAAATCGATCCTGGTAAGAGAGCGACTCTGTACCCCCGACATTGAACTGCTTTCTGTGTCACTGCGACCTTACTATCTGCCCCGTGAGTTCCCCCAATTGTTTGTTACCGTTGTGTACTGTTGATAATCACAAGTTTACTGGAGAACTGAGACCAAGTAGAGACTTTGGACAGGGTGGATATGGTATAATAAAGGCAGTTTATTCAGAGGTAAAGATATCTGGAATCGCGTGCACGGACTCGTTCGTCAAACTCTTAGGGAGCTATCTGAAGAGAGCCCCGAAAACATTGTGTGCAGACATTTTATACAATAAATGATGTAGGTTGAATCTAGTAGTTCTGATCTTCTGATTGGTCCTGATGAGTTGGGCGAGGTCCCCTCCACTGTTGCATTGGCTCTGAGTCGGGTTCTCTGTCTTCAAATGTTCAGCCTAAAGAGAGGGGATTTTTGTGTGTGTGTGTTATCAGTGATGATGTGTGTGTGTGTGTGTGTGTGTGTGTGTGTGTGTGTGTGTGTCCTCAGAGCAAGAACTCGTGAGTTGGAAGAACTGAGAGACCTATGGCGTGGGTGTTGTCCTTGGCCACCTGCTGACAAGGCTGACAAGATAGGACTCTTTTGTCCATTGTTATAGGATAGGAACAGCATTGATTGAAAACAAACGCCCAACACAAAATGGGTCATGCACAAGATTTTAGTCAGACCAAGCTATAACATTATATATTTACTACGACAGTACATTCAACCAAAAGCTAATATAACAAAGGCATCAGAGATTATTTATAATCTGTCACAGAAACTGGAATCCATCTCCCCAGATCAGTCAATAAATGCTTCTGGTATTGACTTATATGCTGCCCCTGTCTTCATGTTGTTGCTGGACATATCTTTTTTAAAATGTGTGTAGGTCACCTAAATCATCAGAAAAATTGCCCCTCCTGAGAGTTTTTTCAGGAGCCGCCACTGCTCACGGTCATTACTTTTCAAGTCTCATTTGATGTCACTGTATTGTCGTCTAACGTTTATGGCGTACTAGGGAAATGTGAAAATTGTTCTACTTCATATTCACCCTCTCCAGCACCACCCCAAAATCAACATATTGGAAAATGGCGTGTTTCTATGTTTTGTAGTAAAAAGATAAAGATGAGTATTTCCAATGACATCATCAACCAATTTAGTAGGCACTACCTATTCACAATAGGTCAAAATCACACGATACCACACCGATGATGTCATTGGAAACACTTATCTTACTCTATCTTTTACTACAAAACATAGAAACGCACCATTTTCACATACACTACATGACCAAAAGTATGTAGACACCTGCTCGTTGAACATCTCATTCCAAAATTATAGACATTAATATGGAGTTGGTCCCCGTTCCAATTCATCCCAATGGTGTTCGATGGAGTTGAGGTTGGCACTATGCATTCAGGCAGGTAGTGTTCTCCTGGCATCTGCCAAACGCAGATTCGTCCGCCGGACTGCCAGATGGTGAAGTGTGATTAATCACTCCAGAGAATGCGTTTCCCCTGCTCCAGAGTCCAATGGCGGCGAGCTTTACACCACTACAGCCGACTCATGGCATTGCGCATGGTGATCTTAGGCTTGTGTGCGGCTGCTCGGCCATGGAAAAACATTTTAATGAAGCTCCCGACGAACAATTCTTGCGCCGACGTTGCTTCCAGAGGCAGTTTGGAACTCGGCAGTGAGTGTTGCAACCGAGGACAGACCATTTTTTTGTGCGCTACAGGCTTCAACACTCGGTGGTCCCGTTCTGTGAGCTTGTGTGGCCTACCAATTCGCGGCTGAGCAGTCGTTGCTCCTAACAGCACTTACAGTTAACCGGGGCTGCTCTAGCAGGGCAGAAATTTGACGAACTGACTTGTTGGAAAGGTGGCATCCTATGACGGTGCCACATTGAATGTTTATGAGCTCTTCAGTAAGGCCATTCTACTGCTAATGTTTGTCTATGGAGATTGCATGGATGGATCAACGGGTGTGGCTGAAATAGCCGAATCCACTCATTTGAAGGGGTGTCCACATACCTTTGTGTACATATAGTGTATGTTGATGTTTGGCTGGTGCTGAAAATGAAGTTGAAAAATGTATAAGTTTCCCTTTAACTACTGATGCCCTAATAACTGATGGGCTTATACGTTCTCTCTTGACAGGAGGCATTGTAACAGATGATAACAGTTTTCTGGATAGCAGTGCCTCTGTGGTCAAGCAGAAGTTATAGAACAATTTAAGAACACTGAACTGATGTACTTGTCAGGCATCCATTCATATACCCCACTGTATACATGTGCAATTGTGTGTATTTAAATCAAGGCCTGTGTGTTCAATTTGAGGCCGTTTTGTATGCCAATGCATGTGTATACACCTCTGTTTATACAGTGCATTCGGAAAGTATTCAGACCCCTTGACTTTTTCCACATTTTATGTTACAACCTTATAATAAAATGGATTAAATAAATAAAAAATCCTCATTAACCTACACACAATACCCCATAATGACAAAGGAGAAATACCTTATTTACATAAGTATTTAGACCTTTTTTTTCAATTGATTGGACATGATTTGGAAAGGCACACACCTGTCTATATAAGGTCCCAAAGTTGACAGTTCATGTCAGAGCAAAAACCAAGTTGAAGGAATTGTCCGTAGAGCTCTGAGACAGGATTGTGTCGAGGCACAGATCTGGGGAAGGGTACCAAAGAAGATCTGCTGCATTGAAGGTCCCCAAGAACACAGTGTCCTCCAAGACTCTTCCTAGAGCTGGCCGCCCAACCAAACTGTGCAATCGCGGGAGAAGGGCGTTGGTCAGGGAGGTGACCAAGAACCCGATGGTCACTGTGATATGGGAGAACCTTCCAGGACAACCATCTCTACAGCACTCCACCAATCAGGCCTTTATGGTAGAGTGGCCAGATGGAAGCCACTCCTCAGTAAAAGGCACATGGCAGCCTGCTTGGAGTTTGCCAAAAGGCACCTAAAGGACTCTGACCATGAGAAACAAGATTCTCTGGTCTGATGAAACCAAGATTGAACTCTTTGGCCTGAATGCCAAGCGTCACGTCTGGAGGAAACCTGGCACCATCCCTACGGTGAAGCATGGTGGTGGCAGCATCATGCTGATGGGATGTGTTTCAGCGGCAGGGACTGGGAGACTAGTCAGGATCGAGGGAAAGATGAACAGAGCAAAGTACAGAGAGATCCTTGATGAAAACCTGCTCAGGACCTCAGACTGGGGCGAAGGTTCACTTTCCAACAGGACAACGACCCTAAGCACACAGCCAACACAACGCAGGAGTGGCTTCAGGACAAGTCTCTGAATGTCCTTGATTGGCCCACCCAGAGCCCGGACTTGAACATCTCTGGAGAGACCTGAAAATAGCAGTGCAGCGACGCTCCCCATCCAACCTGACAGAGCTTGAGAGGATATGCAGATAAGAATTGGAGAAACTCCCCAAATACATGTGTGCCAAGCTTGTAGTGTAATACCCAAGAAGACTCGCGGCTGTAATTGCTGCCAAAGGTGCATCAACAAAGTACTGAGTAAAGGGTCTGAATACTTATGTAAATGTGATATTTATTTTCTTCTTTTTAATAAACTTGCACAAAAAAATCTACAAACCTGTTTTTGCTTTGTCATTATGTGGTATTGTGTGTAGATTGATGAGGAGGGGGGGGGGGGGGGACAGTTTTAATCCATTTTAGAATAAGGCTGTAACGTAACAAAATGTGGAAAAAGTCAAGGGGTCTGAATACTTTCCGAATGCACTGTAAGTTTAAGTAAGGCATGTGTGAATGTGTCTGTGCACGTAGAAAATAGCTCTATGGTTGTGCCGCAGTACACAGATGTTTCCGCTGTTGTTCGTACTGCTGAGTGGCGCAATGGTCTAAGGCACTGCATCGCAGTGCTAACTGTGCTACTAGAGATCCTGGTTCGAATCCAGGCTCTGTCGCAGCCGGCCGCGACCGGGAGACTCATGGGGGGCGCACAATTGGCCCAGCGTCGTCCAGGGTAGGGGAGGGAATGGCCGGCAGGGATGTAGCTCAGTTGATAGAGCATGGCGTTTGCAACGCCAGGGTTGTGGGTTCGATTCCCACGGGGGGCCAGTATAAAAAAAAAATATATATATATATATATATATATATATATATATATATATATATATATATATGTATGTATTCACTAACTGTAAGTCGCTCTGGATAAGAGCGTCTGCTAAATGACTTAAATGTAATGTAAATGTTCGCACATCACTCAAAATGTCTATCTTATCGCTTATAAAACTAGATAGAGAACTCCTCTCTAGCGATACTGCCCGAAGCAGGAAGTGGCTTTTTGCATTATTCATCCGCTCACTGTCACTTACACACAGGCACCTTTCACAATCACTGAACAACACAAAGCTGTCATAGTTCAGGTCTGTGCCTATTTAATAACCAAGCCCAACCTCTTTTTTTTATTTTATTTTTGTCCCCAATGGTGCCATGGGAATGGAAACCATAGCGACAGCACAGGATTATGCTCGTCATGTGCTCATGCCCTCTCTGTAGAGCCTCTGTCTAAAGTGTTGATTAGACCGAGAATCACACCATAATAAAATGGATAATTCCAGATAGTCCTGCTTGCTGATTGATTTGGTAGCGTTTGAGAAGTGCCAATATTCTCATTATGAGAGAGGTTAGGTTGATTGCTGTGCCTTTGCCTCCAATTAACAATACTATAGTTTAATAAAATAAGGTCAGAGTTTGACCATTTCTCGGCCCAAGTTTGTTTAATTTTGCTACACCAAAATGTCATCTTTGCTGTCATGTTGTGCCATATCTTAACTGTGTTGAAATCTTTGACATGACTAGTAGGGGTTACAGAAAGTCAAAACCATGACCTTACAAGCTGTCATGCCAACCCTGCCATGTATTGAGTCAGTCTCTCTCTCATCCCCATGTTGGAGGTGAATTTAAACATGACAACTATTTCATTCAGTGTTCATAGAGAGCGTTTTACAGAGAATGCATGCCTACAGAGAGTTTTTGAAATGGCTCTACCTAATAGGCAAGTGGGTTGAGTTATTGTAATTGGTTAAAGGTCATGGTATGTGTACTTAGTGTGTGTGTGTGTGCCTCGTGTGCACGTGCTATTTCCCATCTTTCATAGCGGCCTGCTTGAGGGCCTCCAGTCCAAATGAAATTGGAGCGTGCGTGGAACGAGGGGGCGCCACCCCTCTGTGTTATTGTATGTATTTGTTGTATGGAAAGGGTTAATGAAAAGAGGAAGAAATTAATGAAATGTCAGTTCTGTCTCGACACTCAATCGGAGCAGGTTAATGTAGGCTAATTAGTACGGCATTATATTGCATGTCCTCGTGTGAAAATAGCTGCAGTTGTACATCATTGAAACTTTGCAATGACACTACTCTTTCCATTTTACTTTCCCTGGAGTAGACTTAATCCTAAATCTTTATAAATATTCTGTGCTGGATAATGATTATTCAATGCTTAAAAATATGTAGGCTTTTTATGTAGGCTAGGCTATAGGCCTACTTTCAGTGTGGGGTTAGGGTTTGGTGCCAAGTGTGCCCTCTGGTGGTTAGAGCACTCTCCGCAGTCAAACATATATTTTATTTTAATTGCTGGGTGCGGAGTGTACTGGGATCTTAATAATATGTCATCTATATTAATATAATCTAACCCTTAATCTAGTGACTTTGAGGACCGGTGTATTGTAATGGTTTAAAAGCCCTCTTAAGAATTGTTTGTTTTTTACGTTTCTGCTGCTAAAAATGTAGGCCTATGCAAATATTATTTTTGACCATTTACGAGATACTCGAATCCAACATGGATAGTTTATGCAGGATTCGAACCCACAACCTTTGTGGTGCCAACACAGTGTTCCAACTATCTGAGCCGTGTAATACTCATTGCTTCATGTGGAAGTCAGCTTGATATGAAGGTCCAACTGTATCTGTATGCACTTTATTTTGAATGTGAAAGGTAAGCCTAACGCCTGTTACTTTAATCTCTTGCGTAACAGGTACACCTGGGAGGTCTCTCAGCCACTTCGACAGCTCGGACGTCGGCAACACCACCACACTGTTGCTAAGTGACGACGGAGACACGTTGTTTGTGGGAGCGCGGGATGCATTTCTCTCATTGGATGTCAGCCAGGAGGACGCCATTGTGATGAGGAGCAAGGTGGGGGGATTGACATTTACACCCGTGTTATCATTAAGTTATTAACAAGTATGATCAGCTTTATGAGACTTCATGAAGCTGTATAAACCCTATAAGCTTATAAGTTCATGCATAAGACCACCAGATTTTGTTGGAAAATACCTAAGCCCTACAGTTCATACAGGCTATATCGGAAATATTCAACACTGCATAGAGCCCATCTATGCTGCAGAAAATGTCCCCCTTCCAGTGGTTTAGTTCAGCGGTTGTCATCTGAAACAGAAACACAGCTGGTTCAACAGTCTTAACACTGACCTCTCTCCCTCCATTCTTCTCTCAGCTGGACTGGTCCCCCTCAGTGAAGGACCTGGACGAATGCTCCATGAAGGGCAAGAAAAAGGCAAGTTAACCCTAGCTCAGCCAATCCACTCATTTGCATTATAATGCCGCATGCTGCCAGTGTTTCCCCTAGATTTGATATTAGACTGGCAGTTTAGGCCCCTGAGTCAATATCCAGGGCTACTGTCGCAAGGTTTTTCAATAACACTTAATTTGAGCTTTAGAATTTAGATTATACCTTAATACATTAGAAATTAATACAACAAAACAAGTAGGTGGGGGGATAGGATAAGGCTGTGCAAGGTGGTTCTGGTCTGTCTTAGGGAGGAGAAACATTACTTACTGGAGGCACAGCTGTCACTGCATTCCACTTACAGCCACCCCACCAAGACTGTAATTCCGTAATGGAATTGTTTAGCTATTTGATTGGATAACTTTAACCGTCTTTCTGGCCGTCAATGTGCTAGCGATACAAAAGGAGGAAGTCAATACAAGATGGTCTTATGCCAATAGGGATTAGCAGACCAATGGGCCTGTATGTAGCATCAGTGGCAATGGGCTTAGCCACATTTGTGACAAGTCAAACAGAGCCACTTTATACACGTCCATAGTATAAATCAGATGAACAGTGACCATAATGGCCATTCATACAAAGACCAATCCCATTATACAATATAGAGTTGATCCTCTCTAAAGGGTATGGGGTAGCTTATAGACTAAGGTAGCTTGCACAGCTTATACACTAAGGTAATTATTCTTATGTGTCAACATTACTGACATGGCCCACGTCCCATGATTCAGAATCCGAGGAATGAGCTGTGATAAGTTATCTGACAGAGGGATAACGAAACAATACGAAGCAAGCTGCTCTGATTGTTTGTGTGGTGTGTGTGCAAGTTGTGTATGGTGGGTGTGAATAGGCCTTATTCTCACAATAAAAATGTTTGATGCTTTATCTAATTCTAGTTAAAAACATTTTGGCTGCCAATGGCCTTCATTACAATGAACGTTGGTGGGGCAGAAACAAGGAAATGCCATTGGTTAAAGACATGTTCCGAAACTTTGGCGACTACTAAGTATTTTTTAAACCTCACGCTTTGGGCAGGATGTGTCAATTTGTAGTTCATACATGCAGAATTACCGTCTTACCTCAATTAGCCACGAAATCCCTTGTTTGAAAGACACTGTTTTTCTGGAAGCTGTGCAGCGCCATTTTCCCTGAAGTTTCTCCCACGTGGGCCAGCCACCTAGCAATTCGAATTCAAATAGGGATGTTAACGGTTAACCGTTAATCGGTTAGCCGCCGAAAATACATTTGACCAGTCATGCTTATTGGTCTATAGGTTAATTTGCATAATTTCGTGGAATTAAATTGGCATGTATTTTCATTAGTCGTCATGTATCTTATTTATCACATGCGCACAGCATACAGAGCCTAGTTTGAGGAGCGGAATAGCCTATCACCTACCAGACGAGAGCACCATCTCCGAGAGCAGCACCTCAAAAAGCTGGTACTGGAGTGTAACGTGCTTTTATACGCCTAGTCATTGTGCAACAAATAACAATTCTAAATGCAATGACGTGTTAAACTGTTTTGATGGACACGATTTTAAAAAGAGCTACTCTTTTGGATAAGAGCGTCTGCTAAATGACGTAAATGTAAATGTTTTCATTTCTCAGCCTAAACTCGTAATGCAATCGCGCCTCCCATTCACCATTCGAGTGCATAGGCTATACTCAACGGTAGGCAGGCTATCAGCGTGTCGCCCACCACTTTGCAACATGAGCTTGAGGCAGTATAATTGTTTGAAACCTGGACGTTTTACTTTACTTCAAATAATAAAGAATGTCTTACTTTGCTTCAAAGTAGCCTAGCCAAAATCCAACCATAAACATGGAGGCAATTATTTTATGAAGACTTCCTCATGCCATAATTTCTCTACTGTTCTATTAGTTTTCATATACATTTATTTAATTATCCAGAAGCCAAAGGCACAATCCTAGTCATATTATACTGAACGAAAATATAAACGCAACATGCAACAATTTCCAAGATTTTACTGAGTTACAGTTCATATGAGGAAATCAGTACATTTTTATAAATTCTTTAGCAACAACTAGGATGGGTTTCTACACTGAACAAAAATATAAACGGAACATGTAACGTGTGTTGGTCCCATGTTTCATGAGCTGAAATGAAAGATCCCAGAAATGTTCCATACGCACAAAAAGCTTATTTCTCTCAAAAGTTAGCACAAATTTGTTTCTATCCCTGTTAGTGAGCATTTCTCCTTTGCCAAGATAATCCATCCACCTGACAGGTGTGGCATACCAAGAAGCTGATTAAACACCATGATCATTACACAGGTGCACCTTGTGCTGGGGACAATAAAGGCCACTCTAAAATGTGCAGTTTTGTTACACAACACAATGCCACAGATGTCTCAAGTTTTGAGGAAGCGTGCAATTGGCATGCTGACTGCAGGAATGTCCACCAGAGCTGTTGCCAGAGAAGATTCCCCATCTTTCTAAGTTTTTGAGATTTTAATCTCTGTCACATATGGAACCGCTCGCATTAGGTGTGCTGTTTAGAACTGTGTTTTCCTATTAATTGCATTTTGGCAAATGTTTGAAAATGACGTTTTATTAGGTGCTTCGTTACAGAAGTTGCATGTTCAATAATAGGCTATAGCCTTTTGACTGTAAGACGATAGGCTTTCTATTGTTGCATGTTTCCATTAAGCTTTTAATGAAAAATGTCCGTTCCTTGTATGCGTGCATAGTATTTTCTGTTGGTCACATCATTTTACTGTTTGGGAAAAATGTAACCGTTTGTTGAACGATTTTAATGAGGGCCGGTTAGTCGGCAGCAAAATTGACCGCCAGAGCCCGGTCTTGAGCCCGATCATACATCTCTGGAGAGACCTGAAAATAGCTGTGCAGCGACGCTCCTCATCCAACCTGACAGAGTTTGAGAGGATCTGCGGAGAAGAATGGGAGAAACTCCCCATATACAGGTGTGCCAAGCTTGTAGCATCATTCCCAAGAAAACTCTAGGCTGTAATCGCTGCCAAAGGTGCTTCAATGAAGTTCTGAATAAAGGATCTGCATACTTATGTAAATGTGATATTTAAGGATTTTTTTTTACATTTTAAAAAAATTATAAAAACCTGTTTTTGCTAAGTCATTATCTGGTATTGTGTGTAGATTGACGAGGGGAAAAAAACAATTATATCCATTTTAGAATAAGGCTGTAACGTAACAAAATGTGGAAAAAGTCAAGGGGTCTGAATACTTTCCGAATGCACTGTATGTGACGTAGTGCGCAAGTTTCTGGGACCACTTTTGGCTCGTGAGCGCTACTTTCACAACTACTGGCTAGAAAGTATACAAAAGTACAGGAGAATCTCTTTAATATAATGTAGGCCTCCCATGAAGTAAGCCTCCACATGTGGCCCCATTTAAACTAAGTAATGAGATCAGGGTTACCAGCGCTATTGGCTCACTGGTGCGAACGGTGCTCCCTCCTCCTGACCTGCTCTCTCTAGACAGACTGACCCAAGCTTTGTTGCAGGGTCACCCAGTTCTGGTTCTGAAGTTCATTGTGTTTGAAGATGTGTTTATTTGGCTTGGCTATGAGCTATCAAACTGGTAGAGCACGGCGCTTGTAACGCCAAGGTAGTGGGTTCGATCCCCGGGACCACCCATACACAAAAAAATGTATGCACGCACGACTGTAAGTCGCTTTGGATAAAAGCGTCTGCTAAATGGCATATTATTATTATTATTATTATTACAATTCCTAGAACAGGAGTATTGTTTTGACTGGAATGACAGATAGTAGCACACAGTGTGCCTCAAGGACCAGGATTAGGAAACCGTTTTACAACACTGTGTAACTGTTTTCTCCATCTCTCCCTGCACTCACATTTCTAAGTACTATACCTAGTTATTTGCACTGTCTAAAAATGTTCCCTGTCTCTGTCTTGTGTCCCCTCTTCAGGCGGATTGTCCCAACTTTATCCGGGTGCTGCAGTTCCTGAACTCCACGCACATGTACGCCTGTGGAACCTTCGCCTTCAGCCCGCGCTGCACCTACATCGTAAGATTCTCTTACTCCAAACTGAAACAAGCTTTTACTGGCATGCCATACATTTGTACAGTATATTGGAACCCACACCTACATAAGATTATTTCCTCAAAATACTTTTCTCATATTCCATATTCAAATTAAAACAAGCTTTATCGTCACCAAATGTATGATTCAGTGTTATCCAAGCAGTGTACTCAAGGACAAATACAGTGAGGACAACAAGATATGAACACGTTTGTAGTATTGCTCTCTCACAATCTTACATTTATATCACTCTCTAACTTATTTTATTGGTTGTTTATCCATATTTGCGCTCTCCTTCCGTGACTGCCTCCCTCTGTATTAGTTTTTGTTCCATCCATCCCTTATCTCCCACCCACTGAGTATCTTCTCCAACTCTCTTAAGAGGGTAATGGTGCTTGGTCATGGGCTGTACAGTAAACCCATATTAGATATTAGCTATCCAATGGCAAATACATTAGTGCCAAGCACATCACGGCTGTAGGTAATTTTTTGCTCAGAAACTCAGAAACGTGCGTGCCAGTGCTTCACACGAGATTGATCATTTCTTAATCCAGTTATGTGAAGTACTGAGCTCAATGACCAATGTTTTCATGCTCTGCTGGCTCGCCCCCTGAGTCTGATGCCCAGGGGCTGAGACAGTGTGTGTGTGTGTGTGTGTGTGTGTGTGTGTGTGTACGCGTGTGTGCGGAAGAGCATTTCTGTGTGATGAGGTTTAAGAAAATGGATCCTCGAGTGACCACCAGTCAAGCCTGTTAACTCGGGTCATGTTGATGCTGGTAGCTTTACTGTACTACACTCACATAGCCAACGCCAGCCAGGCCACTCAGACAGGACATCCCTCACATATAATGATGCCCAAGACTGGGCTACACTTGTACAGTCATGTGAAAAAGTAAGTACACCCCCTGGAAAGTGGTCTTTTTTAAAACATATTTGGACACATGGATATTTTAGATAAATTCCCACCACATTCATTGATAAAGGTAACCCAATTTTAAGAAATCACACACACAAAAAAAAGTATACTTTGAAAATGTTATGCAATTAAAATAAACAAAAATGTATTTTCCTTATGCAGAAAACGTTAGTACACCCCTACCTTTAATACAATTTGAATCAGGTGCACCAAAACAGGTGCAAATTATTATAAAATAATTAGAGAGAAACTTAGGGGGGTCCAGCCTTCCATAAAGATTAGAAACTTGGTCTGGTTTGGGCTTAACCATATGGGTGTGTGGTAACACATCATGCCAAGATTAAAATACCTACCCGAGGCCCTCAGAAGAAAGATTATTGATGCCCATGAGTCTGGGAGGGGTTACAAATCCATTTCCAAGCAATTCGAAGTACATCATTCCACTGGCAATCTACCTAGGACAGGTCGTCCCACCAAATTCAGCCCAAGAGCAGACTGAAAGATGCTCATAGAAGTCTCTAAGAACCCCAGGGTAACATCAAGGGATCTACAGGCCTCTCTTGCCACAATCAATGTCGAAGTGCATGAGTCAACTGTCAGAAAGAGACTGCACAAACTGGAAGGAAGACACCTCTGCTCTCAAAAAAGAATATCAAGACATGACTGACGTTTGCCAGACAACACCTGGGTAAAGACCAAAACTACTGGAACAATGTGCTCTGGACAGATCAGTCAAAGGTGGAGTTGTTTGGCCACAGTGCCAGACGCCATGTTTGGCGAAAATGAAACACTGCCTTTGAACAGAAGAACCTCAAACCAACCGTAAAGTATGGAGGCGGTGGCATTATGGTTTGAGGCTGCCTCAGGACCTGGCCAACTTGCCATCGAGTCAACCATGAATTCTATATTGTACCAGAGAATTGTTGAGGAGAATGTGAGGCCATCTGTCAAAAAGCTGAAGTTGAACCGAACATGGATCTTGCAACTGGACAATGATCCAAAACACAAAAGCAAAGCCACAACAGAATGGCTCAAAAATAAGAAATTGAGTGTTATGGAATGGCCGAGTCAAAGCCCAGATCTCAATCCTATCGAAATGCTGTGGGGGGGACTTGAAGCGGGCTGTGCATGCAAGAAAGCCCCCGGACATGACACAGTTGAAGCAGTACTGTAAAGAAGAGTGTGCAAAAATTCCTCCCAGTCGATGTGAGAGACTGATGGACAGTTACAAGAAATGTCTACATTAAGTTATTTCAGCCAAAGGGGGCAACACAAGCTATTGAAGCTAGGGGTGTACTTGTTTTTTCCGCACTATGGAATTGCATTTCTGTTTATTTTTGATGAATAAATGATTGCAAAGTATAATCTTTCAGTGTCATTTGTTAAATTAGGTTACCTTTATCATATCCATCTGTCCAAATGTAAAATACAACTTTCCAGGGGGTGTAAAAATTATGTCGCTCCTTTATATACTTAGCTTGAACCAAAGCATCCTTTAGCCTCAGAGGCCTGTCTTTGTCTTTAGTAACCATTTTACATTTGGGCCCGGTTTTTCATTTGAGGTTACGATCTCTAGTAGCCTAACACAGGTTTTTAGCTGCTACACTGGAAGTGTATCCCAGAGGAAGCACAAGCCACTTAATCAAGGATCTACCCTTGGTCCATTAGCAGAAAGTAGACATGGAGCAAAATTTCACGCTTCAAAATGACGCTTCGCTCACCACGGCCATTGTAGCAGGATTCATTGACTACAGGGGGGAGGGTATCACTCGTGGCTGATGCTCGGCAAAAATTACGAGTCCAGTGTAGCAGGTCTGTAACTATTTTATGTTGTTAGATAAAACTGCACTAAACACGTAACTTTGGCTTCCTCTTGAGTCATGATCTTTGCTGTATTTTTTTATTTGTATTTATTATGGATCCCCATTATCTGCTGCCAAGGCAGCATCTACACTTCCTGGGGTCCAGCAAAATTAAGGCAGTTATACAGTTGAACAGTGTTTCCACCGACACATTGGTGCGGCTGGCTTCCAGGTTAAGCGGGCGGGTGTTAAGTAGCGCGGTTTATGTTTCGGAGGACGCATGACTCGACCTTCGCCTCTCCCGAGCCCATTGGGGAGTTGCAGCAATGAGACAAGATCGTAATTGGATATCACGAAATTGGGGATAAAAAAAGGGGGTGTACAAATTAAAATTAAAATAAAGGTAGAGTAGTGCTTTATTATGGACAGACTTCTCCCCATCTTAGCTACTGTTGTATCAATATGTTTTGACCATGACAGTTTACAATCCAGGGTTACTCCAAGCAGTTTACTCACCTCAACTTGCTCAATTTCCACATTATTTATTACGAGATTTTGTTGAGGTTTAGGTTTTAGTGAATGATTTGTCCCAAATACAATGCTTTTAGTTTTTGAAATATTTAGGACTAACTTATTCCTTGCCACCCATTCTGAAACTAACTGCAGCTCTTTAAGTGTTGCAGTCATTTCAGTCGCTGTAGTAACTGACGTGTATAGTGTTAGTCATCCGCATACATAGACACACTGGCTTTTCTCAAAGTAAGGGGCCTAGACAGCTGCCCTGGGGAATTCCTGATTCTACCTGGATTATGTTGGAGAGGCTTCCATTTAAAGAACACCCTCTGTGTTCTGTTAGACAGGTAACTCTTTATCCACAATATAGCAGGGGGTGTAAAGTCATAACACATACGTTTTTCCAGCAATAGACTATGATTGATAATGTCAAAAGCTGCACTGAAGTCTAACAAAACAGCCCCCACAATCTTTTTATCATCAATTTCTCTCAGCCAATCAGTCATTTGTGTGCTGTGCTTATTGAATGTCCCTCCCTATAAGCGTGCTGAAAGTCTGTTGTCAATTTGTTTACTGTAACATAGCATTGTATCTGGTCAAACATAATTTTTTCCAAACCTTTACTAAGGGTTGGTAACAGGCTGATTGGTCGGCTATTTGAGCCAGTAAAGGGGGCTTTACTATTCTCAGGTAGCGGAATTACTTTTGCTTTCCTCCAGGCCTGACCCTGCTCTGCTCTTTTCCTTACAGAACTATGAGACTTTCTCCCTCGTAACGAGCCCCAGCGGAAAGCCAGAGGAGGGCAGAGGTCGCTGCCCCTACGACCCCTACCAACGTAACTCAGCCATCACCGTCGGTAAGAGATGACTAACAGGAAGTGGAGGGGGTAGTTAAAGACCCACAGAACAGAGCCTTTAGACAAGGAAATGTAATTGGCAAAGGGCAATGATGACATCATAGCCTTCAACATTCTCCAGGAAGTGTGCCGTTACGAACCAATGATATCATACACGTTATGGTATACTGGTGTCTACTCCTTTAGATCTGAAAGGATTTGATAGGTCTGAGTTATATGGCGATAATTTCACCCAACCTATGAGAAGGCAACATGAAGCAATTAACACATTGCTTGAACCAATCCAATCCTTTCAGATCTACATGAGTGCCTAGGGGGATAGGGATCCATGTGGGATTCATATGAACTTCTTAGTCTCTTCGATGTCGTCATATTTGTCCCATCTCATTGTAGGAGGGTGTAGGGTGGGGTTAAGAATAGTGTGCAGAAAGGTGGTGGAGATTGCCATGATAATGTGGTGGCGTTTTAATCTGTGATTGTGTCTGTGAGAGAGAGGAAGAGCAGACGCTAATAATAATCTTGCCCATAAACCCTTGGCCTGATGTCTTTACCTTTATGTGGGTGGCATGTGACTGCTAGCAAAGATTACAGTACATGAGGGGGGGGGTTACATATGTATCCTGATTAGGCCTATATATCTGTCATTGGCCATAATTAGCATTTTATGTATTCGAGATTATGATTTCACTGACCAAGAGGGGGACGTTTAAAATGTAACTGGATTTGACTGTCGTAAATTAAGTCATAACGCCTGTCACGACAGGTTGTGAGAATCTGTCCCCAGCAGAGCTTGCTCTTATGACAGCTGACACATACTACGCAATGCATACATCTTGTATTTGGGTCATGTTCCTCGCAATAAATGTCAAGTCTTGACAGAATCTGTCGTCACCTGCTAAGGCATTGTGTCTTGATGTGGAAGGACATTTCCAGTACATTACATAATAATTACATGCACGGACTGTTCAAGGGCTCCGAGTGGCGCAGTGGTCTAAGGCACTGCATCTCAGTGCTTGAGGCGTCACTACAGACCCCCTGTTTCGATTCCAGGCTGTATCACAACCAGCCGTGATTGGGAGTCCCATAGGGCGGCGCACCGGGTTTGGCCGGTATAGGCCGTCATTGTAAATAAGAATTTGTTCTTAACTGACTTGCCTAGTTAAATAAAGATAAAATAAATTAAAAATTATAATTTTTATTTCCCCTGGCCATAACCTTGTTGTCATCCAAAGCCAGTACATTTCTTTAACTCTGTCATTAATAAAGGTATTGGTATTGGTATTGTTCAGCTTTGGCTGTTATGTCATTCTCCTGTATGTTTACTTAGGTTTACATGCCTTGTACTGGATGACGCTCACTGTGTGTGTGTGTGTTCAGATGGAGAGCTGTACACTGGAACTGTAGCGGACTACATGGGAAACCGGCCAGTCATCTCCCGCCACCTCAGCGAGGGCAGCCATGTTGATCTGAAGCTGGACGACACTTTGGGCTGGCTGGAGGGTACGTGTCTGCAACAAACTACTCATGATGTATTACACACATCTCCAAGGCTCTGACGTACACTGAGTGTACAAAACATTAGGATCACCTTCCTAATATTGAGTTGGATGTCCTTTTGGTGGTGGACCATTCTTGATACACACGGGAAACTGTTGAGTGTGAAAAACCCAGCAGCGTTGCAGTTCTTGAGACATACCGGTCTCAAGGCTTAAAAATCCTTCTTTAACCTGTCTTCTCCCCTTCATCTACACTGATTTGAAGTGGATTTAACAAGTGACATCAATAAGGGATCATAGGTTTCACCTGGTCAGTCTGTCTTGGAAAGAGCAGGTGTACATAATGTTTTGTATACTCAGCTGGATATTTAGCAATACGTGACAGAGGGAGAAATACCTACATGTGACCTTTTCCACATAAAGCACAGATAAAAGGAAATGTACATTTCAACTTCTATTTAAACTGCTCTTTTAAAGGACTACATTTTTAAAGGAAATAGTTTAGTCATACGTCGGTTGGTGTTGGTTAAGCCCTCCTAACCAATACGTCTGCAATACTTTCCAATGATTACTTTGTTAATTAATTTGCCTAACAAGTAACACACTTATCTCTCGATTAGTGTAGCCAATTGTTCAGTCTTTTTCTCCAGATCCCACTTTCATCGGCTCCAACTTCGTCCCAAGTGAGGAGAAGATCTATTTCTTCTTCAGTGAGGTGGGCCGGGAGTACGACTTCATCAACAAGTTCACTGTGTCTCGCATCGCCCAAGTCTGCACGGTAAGACCCTAAGAGATGCATTATTATGTGGTTGTACATCGAGTGTGTGGTTGTACATCTGCGTGTGTGCGGATGCATGTTAATGGTAATCCTCTCAACCATTTCCTCTCTGTCCCAGAGTGACATTGGGGGCCAGCGTACCCTGCAGCGACGTTGGACCACCTTTGCCAAAGCCCAGCTCCTGTGCCAGTCTGACAACGAGCTGCCCTACAACGTCATCCAGGACATCGTCACCCTCCCGCCACCTGAGGGTGCCCCAGTGGACGACACACTCTTCTTCGGCATCTTCAGCTCTCAGTGGTCAGTAGTTTACACATTCTATAAGCTATGAATGGGATTAAGTCATCTGTTGACATTCTCCCGTACGAATGGCAACCGTTGTTTCTTGTTAGCAGGTCTTACAGGTCTCAGTCACCAGATCTCAACCCAATTGAACACTTATGGGAACACTTTCTGGAGCGGCGCCTGAGACAGCGTTTTCCACCATCATCAACAAAACACCAAATGATGGAATTTCTTGTGGAAAAATGGTGTCGCATCCCTCCAATAGAGTTCCAGACAATTATAGAAACTATGCCAATGCGCATTGAAGCTGTTCTGGCGGCTCGTGGTGGCCCAACGCCCTATTAAGACACTTTATGTTGGTGTTTCCTTTATTTTGGCAGTTACCTGTACCTTGCTAGAGAGTGACAAGTCCCGGCCTTTTATAGGACAGTATAATGAACTCCAAATTATATTTGAATCCCTGAAAAACATTTGTCAAACAAGACCACTTATTTTTTATATTTTTTACTGGTTGGCGTGTTGAGGGTTTTTGAAACAAGAAGTGGGTTTCAGAAGGGTGTTCAAGATTTGCCAAGTTTTTACTAATTTAGCTGCTACCAGATTGTAGCATGGTTGTGACCGCAAGTGTCTTTGATGTTTGTGCCACTACTAGGTCGGTGAACTCAGGGCGGTCGGCAGTGTGTGCCTTCCGCCTGGGCGACATCAAAGCGGTTTTCGCAGGCAACTACAAGGTCCTGAATCGGGACACGCTACGGTGGAGCATGCGGGTTCAGGAGAAGGTCGCCAACCCGGGAGAGGTAAGCGTGTCCCCGTCTTGAATGACAGAGGTCCCCAGAGGGTCAGCAGAAATACATTAGCTTGTTAGCAAATCGAAGTTGGATGAAAGGAAAATATAATTAAGAAGTAAAAACAACTTCTGGAGACCAAACAGAACAAAAGCTACTCAGACAAAACAATGCCAGGGAATGCCTTGTTTATCCTTGCCTAGGTAAATGTTAGTTACTTTCTGATACGTCTTGGATTCTTTTACATATTGTGTTGTCTCCCCATGTTGTATTGCATTGAAGATCAATCAGCCATGCCTTAGGTCATAAGCCTGGCCTGGTTTGATGTTCAATAAGAAGAAACTTCCATACATTGAACTTGGCATAATAAATGTGATATTGTAGTTTTAAGACTTTGTAATCTTCTTTATTCTAAGTTTCGTCAAACTCCTTAGCATACTTGTTGTGGATGACTTCCACACAGGCCAATTGGCATACAGCTGGATGTTTCTCAGAATCTGTATCTGGCTCAATCCCTCTCTCCCTCCTCTCAGTGTGGCCTGCACAACGCCTCAGACAACACCCTTCGCTTTGTCAAAGAAAACTTCCTCGCGGACGACAGCGTACACCCTGTGGGGAAGAGCCTGACCATGGTGTCACCTGACCAGCGCTACAGCCATGTGGTCACCCAGAGAGTACAGGCCGCCAACAGCAAGGACTACACCGTTCTATTCCTGCTTACAGGTACTGGACATGTATTCAACTGGAATCGACCTAAATATGAATGTATTACTCAGTTCATGTATGCATGTGCACACCACTACCGTGTTAGTCATTTGTTTCAAACGCTTGCTTTCAGAATCAGGCTACCTCCACAAAGCAGTGCTGCTGGAGAAGGGTGCACACATCATTGAGGAGATCCAGGTCTTCGAGCAGCCTCAGCCCGTAAAGAACCTCCTGCTCTCAATAGCCAAGGTACCTTTCTAGTCATTAGGTATTCTCCATCTCAAGTCAGGTACTCATCCCACTTTACCCTCGCCTCGCTGTCACATTACATTTTAATGGGCTCTACACCACAGGGGCCTGCTGGCACTTAACATTAGCACTTTAACCGCGCACGATGCAAACAGTGAATCCCCCTTTCGCCAAAGCTCTCACGAGATGTTTCCTTTACATTAACTTCCCCTGTCATCTCCTGTGGATGTGTGCGTGAATGTGTGCGCTGGGTTCGTCTGCTCTTTAACCCCACCAATATGCCCAGAAGTCTCAACCAATCACATCACATCACTGCATCTGCTGGTGACTGACAGATGGACATGGCCTGGGGAGTCTGTGTCACTTGCTGGCTTCATGCCTTCTGTGAAGTGCGAGATGGTTGGTTAGCACGGAATAGACACAGAAACTGTTAAACATTTTTACTACCACTGCATATAATATTTCAAGGTTTTATCTAACAGCCTTCTTCGCAAATAATGAAATGCTGATGACAAATGCAAATTGTGTTGTTTTTTTTACTGTTGAACTATTGTTAAGTGTACACTGTACACCATAGCATAGGCTAAATGAACAGAAGCTGGTAAGGTTTTGCAGGACTATGTGTCCGAGGCGATGGTATTAGCCCGGATAAGCCCTCTCTCGGATCTGCTGCACGAGAGAGAGCGAGAGAGAGAGGCTGGCGAGCTGTCCGTCTGGAGTGTGTGTTCATGACGCAGCAATTCAGTGACAAATGTATTCAATTAATCCTTCTCATAATTACTACCCAATAAATCTCTTTGTGCCCTTGGTCATTAAGTGTATACTAACGCTAACATGTTAATATCCTTATCCCCCTATGTTGTTTGCCATAGCTGTGCATCGCGATCGACTGGTTTATCTCAAAGGCATTCCTAGTCGATCACCAAACATTTCTGTAAAAAACAACAAGAAAGCCTTGCGTGTTTTTTTTTTTTCTGCTGTTAGCGATAGTTGCACTTGATTCAGCAGCCCTAGCGCCGGGAAGGAAAGTGTTCGCATTTTGAACCATTTCATGTGTCTGAAGGTAAAACTCTGCCTACCCGGCTGGCCCAGAAAGCAAATCAAGTGCACTTATAGGCCTACCGCTGGCCAATCGGATAGCTCAGATCACCATGTCTGCACGGTTTCCTCGAGCCATAGGCTGTAAAAATAAGGCTCGAGCACACGAAGTTGATACTGAGATTTAAAAACGTTAAAAACCATGACTAGATAGAGACTCAATGAATACAGCAAAAAGCTGCTGTTTTTAAGTAAGTTAATGTTTAAGTTGCTATTCAGCACTAGCAACACTTTGTTCAACATTTGTATGAGCCATAAAATGCTCCTTACTTCCACTTACTACTGTACAACCAGCACTGCAGCTACAATGAATGAGTATAGTAAAGTGTTCCGATAAGCTTGCGTTGTTACTATTAGCGGCTTGTCTTTTTTAATATATAGGAATATTTCACTTTCTCTGGTCATAGGAAAACAACATGAGATGCTGTATGAGGCAAAAATAAAGCAGAACGACTTGAGTTTTGCCATCAGCTGGAAGACTGTCCCCTTTTCTCAGCAGAGGAAGGGAGAGTGGAGGGACGGTGAGTCGCGTGAGAGGCAGCCTCACCGCTGCTCCCTCCCTCCCTCCCCTTAGACTCACCATTAGATGCAGGCCATCAGTCTAGTAAAATAAAAAAATTGAATTATTATGCTCATTCAGCTGTGCCTCACAAGTAATACAACACATTATCTATTACCAGTGTGATCATATACCTAAAGCCTACTGCACAAACCTAATTGCTACATAACTGTTTTTAATAGGCTAATGTTGCATAGGCTTATGTTTTTTTAACTAATGTAAAAAGATTATGAAACATCTGAGAGGTAGATCTCTGTGTGCTTTTGGACTCAAAGTGATCTTGACCACTGCTGTACACTAACATTAGCGACTTCGCACTAATGCTATCCTTCACCCCCACAGGGTGTGGTGTTTGTGGGCTCATCAGAAGGCGTGGTGAGGGTCCCGGCCTCCAACTGCTCCTACTACTGGAGCTGTGCCGAGTGTGTGCTGTCCCGGGATCCCTTCTGTGGCTGGGACCCCTCCAACAAAGTCTGCACCCACGCCACCAGCATCCAGGACAAAGTGTGAGTGTCACACCCTATCACATTACATTACAACGACTCCACCCAGCAGGCACAACACCAATACACTGGAGGATTTATAGGGTGTACCATGGCAAGCGTAATATACAGCTTGCATAGAGCTGGATGTAAGAAATTACTTTTGGATAAAGGCTGTTACATTTGATATCGTGGAATTAATTTATTTCCTTCAGGGCTGGATTCCCTGACACAAAAACACTTTAAATGGATATTCTCAATTGAACATGCTTCTTAGAACAGGAGTAGGCTTAATGTTTCCCTAAAACCGGCCCATAATATTTAAGAAAAAACAGAATAACATTTAATGGGTATTTATTTAGGGTATAGCTAGAGTACATACACTATGTATACAAAAGTATGTGGACACCCCTTCAAATTAGTGGATTCGGCTATTTCAGCCACACCCGTTGCTGACAGGTGTATAAAATTGAGCACACAGCCATGCAATCTCCATAGACAAACATTGGCAGTAGAATGGCCTTACTGAAGAGCTTAGTGACTTTCAACGTGGCACCGTCATAGGATGCCACCTTTCCAACAAGTCAGTTTGTCAAATTTCTGCCCTGCTAGAGCTGCTCCGGTCAACTGTAAGTGCTGTTATTGTGAAGTCTAGGAGCAACAACGACTCAGCTGTGAAGTGGTAGGCCACACAAGCTCACAGAACGGGACCACTGAAGCGCGTAGCGTGTTAAAATCGTCTGTCCTCGGTTGCAACACTCACTACTGAGTTCCAAACTGCCTCTGGAAGCAACGTCAGCACAATAACTGTTCGTTGGGAGCTTCATGAAATGGGTTTCCATGACCGAGCAGCCGCACACAAGCCTAAAATCACCATGCGCAATGCCAAGCGTCGGCTGGAGTGGTGTAAAGCTCGCCGCCATTGGACTCTGGAGCAGTGGAAACGCGTTCTTTGGAGTAATGAATCATGCTTCACCATCTGGCAGTCCGACGGACTAATCTGGGTTTGGTGGATGCCAGGAGAAATGCTACCTGCCCGAATGCGTAGTGCCAACTGTAAAGTTTGGTGGAGGAGGAATAATGGTCTTGGGCTGTTTTTCATGGTTCGGGCTAGGCCCCTTAGTTCCAGTGAAGAGTAATCTTAACGCTACAGCATACAATTACATTCTAGACGATTCTGTGCTTCCAACTTTGTGGCAACAGTTTGGGGAAGGCCTTTCCTGTTTCAGCATGACAATGCCTCCGTGCACAAAGCGAGGTCCATACAGAAATAGTTTGTCAAGATTGGTGTGGAAGAACTTAACTGGCCTGCACAGAGCCCTGACCTCAACCCCATCGTACACCTTTGGGATGAATTGGAACGGCCTAATTGCCCAACATCAGTGGCCGACCTCGCTAATGCTTGTGGCTGAATGGAAGCAAGTCCCTGCAGCAATGTTCCAACATCTAGTGGAAAGCCTTCCCAGAAGAGTGGAGGCTGTTATAGCAGTAAAGGGGGGACCAACTCCATATTAATGCCCATTATATTATATATTATATATGATTTTGGAATGAGATGTTCGACGAGCAGGTGTCCACATACTTTTGGTAATGTGTACTTTATTTTTTTTATTTGTTATTTATTTTTTACATTATAGAGGTCCTCTGTAGCTCAATTGATAGAGCATGACGCTTGTAACACCAGGGTAGTGGGTTCGATCCCTGGGACCACCCATACGTAAAAATGTATGCACACATGACTGTAAGTCGCTTTGGATAAAAGCGTCAGCTAAATGGCATATTATTATTATATTATTATTAATCAAAAGGGGACCATTGCGCTCTCCCAGAAGTTTAATTGGTGTGTAAAACCTGTGAATTCAGATAAGCAAAAAGGTGTGATGGGTCCTCACTCAAAGATGTCGCATAAAACTTACTTCATTTTTTTTTTTTTACTGCATCAGGGATAGTGTTCAGACATTCCGGCTTTGCAGCCTTGTTCAGTGTGTAGCTACAAATACTTTGTGTAGGTACAAAAAAAAGGTGGACCTACACACTGAAGAAGGCTGCAAAGCCAAAACGTCTGAGTACGCTGTCCCTGATGCAGTGAATAAAAAAAATGAAGTAAGCTTTATGCGACATTAGAGTTATCCAGAATGTAAACAGGAACTTTGCATGGACAGATGCACAGAATATATCACACAAACTCACATACAGTGCATTCGGAAAGTATTCAGACCCCTTGACTTTTTCAACATTTTGTTACGTTACAGCCTTATTCTAAAATTTATGAAGTTATTTTTTCCCCTCATCAATCTACACACAATACCCTAAATGACAAAGGGACATTTTTGCAAATGTATTAAAAAATATAAAAAACAGATTACCTTATTTACATAAGTATTCAGACCCTTTGCTATGAGACTCCAAATTGAGCTCAGGTGCATCCTGTTTCCATTGATCATCCTTGAGATGTTTCTTCAACTTGATTGGAGTCCACCTGTGGTAAATTCAATTGATTGGACATGATTTGGAAAGGCACACACCTGTCTATATAAGGTCCCACAGTTGACAGTGCATGTCAAAGCAAAAACCAAGCCATGAGGTTGAATGACCTAAAGGACTCTCAGACCATGAGAAACAAGTTTCTTTGGTCTGATGAAACCAAGATTGAACTCTTTGGGAGAAACTCCCTAAATACATGTGTGCCAAGCTTTTAGCGTCATACCCAAGAAAACTCTAGGCTGTAATCACTGCCAAAGGTGCTTCAACAAAGTACTGAGTAAAAGGTCTGAATACTTATGTAAATGTGATATTAAAGTTTTGTATTTTTAATAAATTAGCAAACATTTATAAAAAACTGTTTTTGGTTTGTCATTATGGGGTATTGTGTTTAGATTTATTATTAAAAAAACACACAATTTAATCAATTTTAGAATAAGGCTGTAACGTAACAACATTTTGAAAAGGTCACTGGGTCTGAATACTTTCCGAATGCACACACGTAAACAAATACACACACACACACACACACACACACACACACTGACAGTGTTTATCTCCTCTTCTACAGAGGCCAGGATGTGGATGGAGGGAATGTGCAGGAGGCGTGTGCGTCGCCCATGACGCCCAGATCCAGATTTGGACTGCACAAAGGAAACGCAGGTGAGAATCACTAGTGTAAACAGCCATCATGCTTACAGTGAGCTTTGTAGTCACCATTTTCTGCATAGACAAACATCTTTATACCTATCCTATTATCTATCTGCCAGACTAGTCTATAGATAGATACACACTGCATTGTATGTGTGTGCGCAAGCCTTTGTTTGTGGGCTAGCTGCTAGCTTAGACGCTAACTGCCAGAACTAGCATCTGGCTCAATCTGAGCTTGGGCCTCAGTCAGTGACTCTTGATTTATGTTAGACTCCTTTCCCCCAGGCGAGCTGGTGTCGGTGTCCCTGAATGAGGTGGTGCGACTGCAGTGTCCAGCGGCCTCGAGCATGGCCCACCGCCACTGGGAGCGACCCAACAGCCGCCTCTCCCCGGACCTCTACCTGCAGCTGGAGGACGGAAGCCTGCACTTCCTGGCCACGCCCGCCACCCTGGGCCACTACCTGTGTCTATCCACAGAGAACGGCTTCCAGCAGAACCTGGCCATCTACCAGGTAAAGCAGAAGAGCAGCCCCACCCCCCAGGCCACTGCTCCTGACGTGACGCCCACTCGCCCCCAGAGCCCGGCCCTCCTCCCAACCACCCAGGCCGGCTCAGGAGGATGGCTCACCCCGCCCTTGACGGTGCCCAAGCAGACCGAGCCGGAGCCCACCGCGCTGGCAAGGGAGACTCAGGCCACCACAAGGCGGACCAGCAGGAACTTTACCTTCTGGGTGGAGCAGTCGGAGGAGACTGAGGCAAAGTCGCTGGGAGGAGAGAAGCTGCTGCTTGCGCTGGGGCAAACCTACCTGAAGGAGCTGGTGGTGGTGTCTGTACTGCTAGCATCCTGCGTTAGCATCCTGCTAACCATGGTGCTGTACGGCATGAGGCAGCGCTGCCGCAGCAGGACGGTGCCCCAGGCCAACGCCCCAGGGAGGGACTTGGAGAGGGGTGGCCATCAGGAGCGGGAGGCCCTCCGGGGGGGTCAGTCACCGCGCAGCAACGGCAAGCGGAACGGGCAGGCGGCACACAACGGCCAAGACAACGGGGTCGTGTGCAACGGCACGCCTAAGGGCTCCAACGGGCATCTGCCCAACACCCCTATCTGAGCATAGTCAACCACATCACACTCTAACTATTGACAGTACCATATCCACTCTTCCTGAGAGAAATGTAGCCTTTACATGGTCGCACTAAGCCATGGGATTTTACATAAACGCGGCTAACTGCAGCACTCTGAATTGTATGGACTGTCATGGCAGTGAGTAAGACTGTTTGGCCTGATAGACTGTGGTAACTCAATTTAAAGGACACTTTTCTTCTGGTACGATACAAGCCTATGTGAATCAAATGGGCAGACTGATAAATGTGACTCTCACTGCTCTTATGTAATATTGTGTATTATATTGTGCTGTATATACTTAGGAGAAGAGGTTCAATCGACTAGACTGTTTTTGTGTATTTAATGAAAGAGCCAAGAAAGCCGATGTATCGAATGTAAATGAAGGACTGCGTCACTATACGGCCACAAAAAAAAAAAAAAAAGAATTGCTCCTAAACAGGTTTCTCTACCACTAACTATTAACTAATGTGTCCACTCAAATCCCAGGCAGTGTGGATGCATATCGCGAGTTACACAAAAACAGCCTTTTTTGTTCGAACAGTGTTTTTGTATCATCAGGTCTACATTGCTAAACCACTTTCTTTCTATGCAGCGTCAGCGAAGGTTAGCGGAGCACGTTGTACAGTACAAGGTTTTTTCCACTCTATTTATTTTTGCTGGTTTATTTTTGTCATTCTGTTGAATGTGCTGCCAATGACTTCAAGTATTTCCAACTTGCTTTTCTTTTCTCTCTCACCGAAACGCACATTTTTGGAAATCCTGCAGTCTGTGAAGCCATGAGAACATGTTGATTTGACACTGTAGGCTTATCTCTTCCAGAACAAACAAGATTATTCTGGTGTTTAGAGACCTTTAGTTTTGATAATATATGTGTTGTCAGCGTATTAACTGGACAGAAATCTGAAAATCACTTTGAAAACTGATATTGCCAAAATTGCATTTTGAATAAAAACAAATGTTTTTTGCTAGACAGCTATTCAGAGAGTGAAAACAGATTAAGAGAAAGGTGGTTCATTTTAAAGCTGCTTTAGATGCCGATGAGAAAGACGAATAGTTAAACAAATATGGTACTCATTGTCTTTGGTACAGATCACAAACAACTTTTTTAAATTAAGTTTTGTCTTTATTTTTATACAATCGTATGTTACTGTTCTAATGTTGCAAATAAACTGTTCAATTTGTGCAAAAACAATGTGTCATTTGTGTTGAATTTAGGCCTACTGCAGAAAATCTCATTATTTTAAAGCATTTTAACGCTTCACAGTATTATGTTATTAATGTAAGCTTTGTTGAGTAGGATTTAACAGAGAAAATGGCTCCAGGCTGTTCTCCATATAAATTGGCCATTGTGTTGTGAAACAGTTTTTCACAAAGATATGCTTGTGTGCCGTAAGTCTTCATAGTCAAAAGACAGACCATGGATCAGAATATGTCTGCCTGTGTAAACGCAGCCATAGTAGCATATGCAGAAAGGCAATTAGAAGGGCTCAATAGAGAAATAAATGTTATGGCTTGCAACAATGAACTGATAAGATGACTGGACTCAACATGATCAGATTGATTTTCATCAGTGTCTTGAGATGTAATATACAGTAGTCTGTCAACTGTACTGTCTCCATATCCTGTAGGTACAGTGAGGGGAAATTTTAATGAGGGAAATAAGTATTTGACCCCTCTGCAAAACATGACTTAGTACTTGGTGGCAAAACCCTTGTTGGCAATCACAGAGGTCAGACGTTTCTTGTAGTTGGCCACCAGGTTTGCACACATCTCAGGAGGGATTTTGTCCCACTCTTTGCAGATCTTCTCCAAGTCATTAAGGTTTTGAGCCTGACGTTTGGCAACTCGAACCTTCAGCTCCCTCCACAGATTTTCTATGAGATTAAGGTCTGGAGACTGGCTAGGCCACTCCAGGACCTTGATGTGCTTCTTCTTGAGCCACTCCTTTGTTGCCTTGGCCGTGTGTTTTGGGTCATTGTCATGCTGGAATACCCATCCACGACCCATTTGCAATGCCTTGGCTGAGGGAAGGAGGTTCTCAACCAAGATTTGACAGTACATGGCCCCGTCCATCATTCTCAGTACCATACAGTGTGGAACTGGAAGCACCAGAACACAAGACCGGGGACAAGACTGGAGGACACCAAATTGCTTGGGAAAGCATTGTTTTAATAAATAATTGTTTTAACAAATAATTGCTTAAATAAAAAGATCAGCATTATTTACACAGTGGGCATTTGTTTCCCTGAAGGAGTTTCTGTTTCTGAATTTGCAGTAGCTCTTTTTGTAAATTCCGGATCTCAATCTGCAGTAGATTTCTCTCTCTCCAGCTCCAAAACATCAATATGAGCTTGGTTCATGTCAGTTCTGGGGCGTTTACTTGGCCTGTCTGGTGTTTTTGCTGCTAGTGCAAGATCCAGGCAGTGGCGGCTCCTGAAAAAATTCTCAGGGGGGGGCAATTTTTCTGATGATTTAGGTGACCTACACACATTTTAAAAAAGATATGTCCAGCAACAACATGAAGACAGGGGCAGCATATAAGTCAATACCAGAAGCATTTATTGACTGATCTCAAAAGTGTTGGCTTACCAGGGTTGGTGGAGCCCTCAGTTTCATCTTTGCCTCGCAAAGCTAACTCAAACACTCCGCAAAACTTCACACACTGGATTAGCCGGCTGAGGATGTGGCGGTTCTTGCTAATGTCGTAGTAAATATATTTGTTATAGTGAATATGGAATATGATATGTTGAGTAAAATGTTGTGCTAAGATCTATTTAGGTCAGGAGCTGGTTATAAGTTCTGTTCCTATCCAATAACAATGGACAAAAGGGTCCTATCTTGTCAGCCTTGTCAGTTTCAGTTCTCCAGTAAACTTGTGATTATCAACACTAACCTCATCGTTGTGGCGGCGGACAGCTAGCCTGTATCCCTCATCCAGTTGAGTGGGAATGTTCACTCTCCCCAAAGCAGACAATCTCAAACAGCTATCCATGTGGGTCTTTGACAGCTCATGTTTCTTAATCTTTCCTGAAAGATGGTGCATGTCCGTTACACACCAGTCGCTGTCCAAGCGGTGCTGTCTGCCGTGCCGCCTTCAGGGTGAAAGAGTAAGCAGGGGGTAGCAGAAGACTGCATTAGCTACATCGCAGCCTGCTAGCCAGGTTTTTCGTTCGTACCAATTTTTGGAAAATCCTCGGGTGTAGGACTTCCCCCCTTTAGTAGAAACCTGTTGAATTATTAAATTTGGTCTGGGAGGTCCTAATTGTTTCGTTGCCAATTTATCTTCATTTGTTCGCCGACAAAAAGGAACTTCTTTCAAAGACACAATCGAGTTGCACTGAAGCCTAGCCATTTTGACAGTAATAGTGAATTGATTGACGCTGCTACCCGCTCTTTTCTTAGTTACGTTCATGGTTATGTTACGTATGACGAAAGCGCGTAAGTGCAAGCCCTCAGAAACCCATAGAGATTGTATTGAAAGCTCTGATATTTGAAAAAAATAGATTTTACATGGGAGTCTATGACAGACTTCTGGGCGATTTTCAACCTGACTGAAATCGCCCCAAAAGGGGGGGGGGGGGCATTTGAAGCACGACTTTAGCCTGATTGGACATTTAGTGGCACTGTGGCAGATCAGACGTCTAGATTACAACACTGATAACTACTGTTGCCGTGATATAATTGATTAGAAAAAAAATCCCTTCCTTTTCCCGTTTGGCAGTGCGTCGCCCATATCGCCCTATTGAACACACCGCCCCTGGATCCAGGCACTGCTGTTTCTCCACGGCACAGGTTGTCAGCTCAACGAAAGGAAAGAAAATTAACTCATTCTTAGTAGGCTATTTACGTACAACAATTGAATTGGGGCTTATGATATGCCCCGCCTTGGTACGAATGATGATGTTATGCAACATAATGTAATGGGCCTGATAACGGTAACATTGTAGTGAAGTAGCCTTAACGTTCGTTTTAACGTGCATTATAGTCATTGATATTTACCAGTTATTTATGCTTACTAAATATTGGTGGTTCGAGTTGTCGGTCGTCATCATAGGGGTTAAGGAGAGGGGTAAACTGCTGGGGAATCATCTCGCATATCTTCAGGGAGAGAGGATCAATTCCCTTGGACGGAGGCCCCCCTCTGGTCTGAAAAATCCCCTGCCGCATCATTTTTGGCTTTCGCTTTTAAGTTTTTCCAGCAAGCCTTCATCCGATTTGGGTCCCACTTCTCTTTAATCCATGTCGATCCATTAAATCTGTGGCGTAAAATGGCCCAGGTGTCTTTCTTTTTTTTGACAGTCGTGTTCTCTGTCTTTTTATTATCCAGTACGTAACTAAATTCCTCCATCAGCTCCGACGAGGTTTTTAAGCGGAGAAATGTGAACTTCTTTGACGTGCCATGATCAGGTGGCTAGCGGATAAATAATAAATGGCTAAAAACGTTAAGTAATGACAATACTACATTATATTTTATGCTAGCTAGCTTGGTTTATAAACTAGCTAGCTACAGTAGCTAACGTTAGCTAACGAATGAGTCTGTCTAGTACTGGTAAATAACAGATTTTATTTCAAATCAGCCATCCAATGAGAACCTTTCACGATGGAGTTGCAGTAGTTCTAACGTTACATTGTTTTTGTTTTATCAAGGAACAGCAACTTTGTGGCCTGTTTTGTCAAGTAGGCTAGCTACTTCGTTTCAACTCACGAAATACCTCATATATTGGTGTAACATGTCACTAATCATAGTTTAAAACCGTTAATCATAGATTTACTGATCCAGATTTAAAATTAAGTGGTGCAACACATCTCTGATGAATTATAAACCTAGATTTACAAAACCTAGATTAGCTCTAATCCTAGATTAATTTAAACCATGTTGGTGCAAAATGTAGAACAAAATGTAGAACAATGAGACCGATATTTCACCTGATGTATACATGTGAAGCATCCGTTTGGCGTTTCTACTTACTAAAAGCAGTAAGTAAGTAAATTTGGCCTTTATCCTAATCTGACTTTGGTACCGTTCATGTTGTTCTTCACATTACCATATCTGGTAAACACACTATATCAAATGAAATCAGTTTATTTGTCACTGCACAGGATACAGAAGGTGTAAATGGTACAGTGAAATGATTACTTGCATATTTGCATGGTAGCAATATTAAAAAATTTCCATATGTATATACTCTATTCTATTCTACAGTATTTTAGTCAATGCCACTCCGACATTACTCCTCCTAATATTTATATACACTGCTACAAAAAATAAAGGGAACACTAAAATAACACATCCTAGATCTGAATGAATGAAATAATCTTATTAAATACTTTTTTCTTTACATAGTTGAATGTGCTGACAACAAAATCACACACAAATTATCAATGGAAATCAAATGTATCAACCCATGGAGGTCTGGATTTGGAGTCACCCTCAAAATTAAAGTGGAAAACCACACTACAGGCTGATCCAACTTTGATGTAATGTCCTTAAAACAAGTCAAAATGAGGCTCAGTAGTGTGTGTGGCCTCCACGTGCCTGTATGACCTCCCTACAACGCCTGGGCATGCTCCTGATGAGGTGGCGGATGGTCTCCTGAGGGATCTCCTCCCAGACCTGGACTAAAGCATCCGCCAACTCCTGGACAGTCTGTGGTGCAACGTGGCGTTGGTGGATGGAGCGAGACATGATGTCCCAGATGTGCTCAATTGGATTCAGGTCTGGGGAACGGGCGGGCCAGTCCATAGCATCAATGCCTTCCTCTTGCAGGAACTGCTGACACACTCCAGCCACATGAGGTCTAGCATTGTCTTGCATTAGGAGGAACCCAGGGCCAACCGCACCAGCATATGGTCTCACAAGGGGTCTGAGGATCTCATCTCGGTACCTAATGGCAGTCAGGCTACCTCTGGCGAGCACATGGAGGGCTGTGCGGCCCCCCAAAGAAATGCCACCCCACACCATGACTGACCCACCGCCAAACCGGTCATGCTGGAGGATGTTGCAGGCAGCAGAACGTTCTCCACGGCGTCTCCAGACTCTGTCACGTCTGTCACGTGCTCAGTGTGAACCTGCTTTCATCTGTGAAGAGCACAGGGCACCAGTGGCGAATTTGCCAATCTTGGTGTTCTCTGGCAAATGCCAAACGTCCTGCACGGTGTTGGGCTGTAAGCACAACCCCCACCTGTGGATGTCGGGCCCTCATACCACCCTCATGGAGTGTGTTTCTGGCCGTTTGAGCAGACACATGCACATTTGTGGCCTGCTGGAGGTCATTTTGCAGGGCTCTGGCAGTGCTCCTCCTGCTCCTCCTTGCACAAAGGCGGAGGTAGCAGTCCTGCTGCTGGGTTGTTGCCCTCTTACGGCCTCCTCCACGTCTCCTGATGTACTGGCCTGTCTCCTGGTAGCGCCTCCATGCTCTGGACACTACGCTGACAGACACAGCAAACCTTCTTGCCACAGCTCGCATTGATGTGCCATCCTGGATGAGCTGCACTACCTGAGCCACTTGTGTGGGTTGTAGACTCCGTCTCATGCTACCACTAGAGTGAAAGCACCGCCAGCATTCAAAAGTGACCAAAACATCAGCCAGGAAGCATAGGAACTGAGAAGTGGTCTGTGGTCACCACCTGCAAAACCAGTCCTTTATTGGGGGTGTCTTGCTAATTGCCTATAATTTCCACCTGTTGTCTATTCCATTTGCACAACAGCATGTGAAATGTATTGTCAATCAGTGTTGCTTCCTAAGTGGACAGTTTGATTTCACAGAAGTGTGATTGACTTGGAGTTACATTGTGTTGTTTAAGTGTTCCCTTTATTTTTTTGAGCAGTGTATTTCTTAATTCCATTATTTTACTTTTAGATTTGTGTATTGTTGTTCATTGTTAGATAGTACTGCACTGTTGGGGCTAGGAACACAAGTATTTCGCTACACCAGCAATAACATCTGCTAAATATGTGTACGTGACCAATAAGTTTGATTTGATTTGATAATTTAAAAAAATTTAAAAATATTAGATGATGCTTACCCAGACACACTTATCTAAATTGATGGGTCATGTGAAAGAAATGCTATAACCACACCCCAGGCATATCTAGCTAAGTGGATGGGCCACTATTGTCTAGATGTTAATGAAATACAATAGATGGCCGTAATCACCCCCAGACACATCTGCCTAACTTGATGAGTCATGTAATCATCTGGCATCTTTTGTTTAGACATGTAGCTAGCTAAACAATGAACCATAATCCCAATAGCTACAGTACAAACGGCACACATTTATTCACACGGTATACTTAAAAAACGATTTTAATCTATTTTATAATGTTCAACTTTTCATCATAGCAAAAAATTTGCTGATCAGCACATTTCATCTTATTTACCTAGCTAGCTATCTAGGCCTATAGTCACTATCATAGAGATCCTAATTATATGGTGACTATACTGTTAGGTTCATGTGTGGGCATCCATAATTACGCTTTTGAGTAGTAAATGTTGAAAGATCATCACTTCTCTTTGTCTCCCTTTGATTTTTCAAACCACACACACACCAATGAAGTAAATTTGTCTGTTGTTTTCATTTTTTTGCCAGGAAAATGCGGTTAACAGCCGTAATGTCAATGGCCGCTAAGGCTGCCTTCCCTAAAGACTACCGCTACGGCACAAATCGGCCTAGGACCATAGCTGCCAAGAGATTGAACCCACCAGGCAAGAAGAGAAGAAAGGTGTTCATAGAGCTCATAGCTTATGAGGACTGGTCTGTTTTCAAAGGGGACACAGTAAGTGGTCATGAGACAAAAGGACATTGAAGACTTTTAGGATGTATAATATAGAACACTTGTATTGCAGCTATATGGCTAATTCCTTTGCAGAGATACCAGATATTAGACACAAACAAACTGTTAACCATTGAGTTGAGCAATTCCTTGCTATACAATCAACACATGGAGGATAATGATAATGAGATTAATGTAATGTAGCACTGAGATTTGTGGGTCGCTGTCAAGTTTTATTCAGCCGTTAGCCTAACGTTTTGCAGCTTTGATATTCTAAAATGCTATTCCCCCTTGACCAGGTTGAGATCCTCTCTGGGAAGGACAAAGGAAAACAGGGCAAATTGGCCCAGGTCTTCAGACACAGAAACTGGGTCATCCTGGATGGGCTGAACACGGTAAGAATCCCAGTCATGGTTGTAAGAGGGGGTATGTTTGCCACTTCCATAACAGAGAACACATCCATACATTAAATTCAGTATATGCACCCAACAATTGTATACCATTCTGTATACATATATACTGTATAACCCACTTGAGATACACTGATACAGGGTACAGATAGTGCCAGCTCATGGTTGTTGTTGCGCAGTCACCTATTTATTTTATCTTTGCATTTTAGAAAACTGTCCCGACTACCAAAGAGGAGCTTCATAAATGCCCAGTTCAATTGCTTGATGGGCTTACTTCTAACATTTTTATAATACCGGTTTCTAGTGCACTGTCTTTGAACCTGTGTAGCCCGCTCAATGGCTTCACAGGCCAAGCTACAGCGGCAAAAGCAAAGACCTGGGCCCGGTTTCCCAAAGGCATCTTATGGCTAAGTTCATCGTTAGAGAGGTTTAGAACTATCTTTTTTATTGGTCTATTAAAGGTCCAATGCAGCCATTTTTATCTAGATATCAAATCATTTCTGGATAAGAATTAAGTACATTACTATGATGGTTGGTGTAGATTTTTTTTCTTCTCCAAATATTTTAAACTTTTACAATGTTAGTTTAATCAGCTGTTGTACAAATATGACACAAAAAACACAGGAAAACTTCATTTTGACTGCACTGGGCCTTTAAATCATTTTATTATATCAATGTGAGATTTGTGCTGAAGTTGAAATTTCTTGCGTCTCAAGATTTTGCTATTCTGCGATCGCATTTTAGCAAAATCAACAATTCCCCGCATATTATGCGAGGGCTTGCAAATTTGACAAATTACTGCATAAAACAGTAAAACCATCGCAATATTATCGCATAAAACTGACCGATCACGCACTACAAAAACAGGCCTCGCAATTTCAACCAATCTCGCAGATTTACCGCATAATATGGTTCAATCAAGTCACACGTCAACAAACCTTTGTCAGTGCATTTCTGTGACAAATTGGGCAAAAGCATTGCATATTGCCGTGCAAAATCAAGCATTTTTGCCCACAAATATCACAAAAAATTCATGTGAAATCCTGGAGGGACTGCTTTTGGCAGTTGGATGAAATGGGCTGTGGGATTAGGGTGATGTGTACCATATGACAGACTGTGGAAGTTACAGTGCCTTCAGAAAGTATTCATACCCCTATACTTATTCCACATTTTGTTGTGTTACAGCCTGAATTCAAAATGGATTAAAAAAATAATAATCTCACCCATCTACACACAATAGCGCATAATGACAAAGTGATAACATATTTTTAGAAATGTTTGCTAATTTATTGAAAATTAAATACAGAAATATCACACCCCTGAGTCAATACTTTGTAGAAGCCCCTTTGCCAGCAATTACAGCTGTGAGTCTTTCTGGGGAAGTCTCTAAGAGCTTTCCACACCTGGTTTGTGTAACATTTGGCCATTATTCTTTTCAAAATTGTTCAAGCTCTGTCAAATTGGTTGTTGATCATTGCTAGACAACCATTTTCAGGTCTTGCCATATATTTTCAAGTAGATTTAAGTGAGAACTGTAAATCAGCCAGTCAGGAACATTCACTGTCTTCTTAGTAAGCAACTCCAGTGTAGATTTGGCCTTGTGTTTTAGGTTATTGTCGTGCTGAAAGGTGAATTCATCTCCCAGTGTCTGGTGGAAAGCAGACTGAACCAGGTTTTCCTCTAGGATTTTGCCTGTGCTTACAGTGAGGGAAAAGAGTATTTGATCCCCTGCTAATTTTGTACGTTTGCCCACTGACAAAGAAATGATCAGTCTATAATTTTAATGGTAGGTTTATTTGAACAGGGAGAGACAGAATAACAACAAAAAAATCCAGAAAAACACATGTCAAAAATGTTATAAATTGATTTGCATTTTAATGAGGGAAATAAGTATTTGACCCCCTCTCAATCAGAAAGATTTCTGGCTCCCAGGTGTCTTTTATACAGGTAACAAGCTGAGATTAGGAGCACACTCTTAAAGGGAGTGCTCCTAATCTCAGTTTGTTACCTGTATAAAAGACACCTGTCCACAGAAGCAATCAATCAAACAGATTCCAAACTCTCCACCATGGCCAAGACCAAAGAGCTCTCCAAGGATGTCAGGGAAAAGATTGTAGACCTACGCAAGGCTGGAATGGGCTACAAGACCATCGCCAAGCAGCTTGGTGAGAAGGTGACAACAGTTGGTGCGATTATTCGCAAATGGAAGAAACACAAAATAACTGTCAATCTCCCTCGGCCTGGGGCTCCATGCAAGATCTCACCTTGTGGAGTTGCAATGATCATGAGAACGGTGAGGAATCAGCCCAGAAATACACGGGAGGATCTTGTCAATGATCTCAAGGCAGCTGAGACCATAGTCACCAAGAAAACAATTGGTAACACACTACGCAGTGAAGGACTGAAATCCTGCAGCGCCCGCAAGGTCCCCCTGCTCAAGAAAGCACATATACAGTGGGGAGAACAAGTATTTGATACACTGCCGATTTTGCATGTTTTCCTACTTACAAAGCATGTAGAGGTCTGTAATTTTTATCATAGGTACACTTCAACGGAATCCAGAAAATCACATTGTATGATTTTTAAGTAATTAATTTGCATTTTATTGCATGACATAAGTATTTGATACATCAGAAAAGCAGAACTTAATATTTGGTACAGAAACCTTTGTTTGCAAAGATCATACGTTTCCTGTAGGTCTTGACCAGGTTTGCACACACTGCAGCAGGGATTTTGGCCCACTCCTCCATACAGACCTTCTCCAGATCCTTCAGGTTTCGGGGCTGTTGCTGGGCAATACGGACTTTCAGCTCCCTCCAAAGATTTTCTATTGGGTTCAGGTCTGGAGACTGGCTAGGCCACTCCAGGACCTTGAGATGCTTCTTACGGAGCCACTCCTTAGTTGCCCTGGCTGTGTGTTTCGGGTCGTTGTCATGCTGGAAGACCCAGCCAGGACCCATCTTCAATGCTCTTACTGAGGGAAGGAGGTTGTTGGCCAAGATCTCGCGATACATGGACCCATCCATACTCCCCTCAATACGGTGCAGTCGTCCTGTCCCCTTTGCAGAAAAGCATCCCCAAAGAATGATGTTTCCACCTCCATGCTTCACGGTTGGGATGGTGTTCTTGGGGTTGTACTCATCCTTCTTCTTCCTCCAAACACGGCGAGTGGAGTTTAGACCAAAAAGCTCTATTTTTGTCTCATCAGACCACATGACCTTCTCCCATTCCTCCTCTGGATCATCCAGATGGTCATTGGCAAACTTCAGACGGGCCTGGACATGCGCTGGCTTGAGCAGGGGGACCTTGCGTGCGCTGCAGGATTTGAATCCATGACGGCGTAGTGTGTTACTAATGGTTTTCTTTGAGACTGTGGTCCCAGCTCTCTTCAGGTCATTGACCAGGTCCTGCCGTGTAGTTCTGGGCTGATCCCTCACCTTCCTCATGGTCATTGATGCCCCACGAGGTGAGATCTTGCATGGAGCCCCAGACCGAGGGTGATTGACCGTCATCTTGAACTTCTTCCATTTTCTAATAATTGCGCCAACAGTTGTTGCCTTCTCACCAAGCTGCTTGCCTATTGTCCTGTAGCCCATCCCAGCCTTGTGCAGGTCTACAATTTGATCCCTGATGTCCTTACACAGCTCTCTGGTCTTGGCCATTGTGGAGAGGTTGGAGTCTGTTTGATTGAGTGTGTGGACAGGTGTCTTTTATACAGGCAACAAGTTCAAACAGGTGCAGTTAATACAGGTAATGAGTGGAGAACAGGAGGGCTTCTTAAAGAAAAACTAACAGGTCTGTGAGAGCCGGAATTCTTACTGGTTGGTAGGTGATCAAATACTTATGTCATGCAATAAAATGCAAATTAATTACTTCTGAATGATTCAGAGGAGAACTGGGTGAAAGTGATGTGGTCAGATGAGACCAAAATGGAGCTCTTTGGCCTCAACTCAACTCGCCGTGTTTGGAGGAGGAGGAATGCTGCCTATGACCCCAAGAACACCATCCCCACCGTCAAACATGGAGGTGGAAACATTATGCTTTGGGGGTGTTTTTCTGCTAAGGGGACAGGACAACTTCACCGCATCAAAGGGACGATGGACGGGGCCATGTACCGTCAAATCTTGGGTGAGAACCTCCTTCCCTCAGCCAGGGCATTGAAAATGGGTCATGGATGGGTATTCCAGCATGACAATGACCCAAAACACACGGCCAAGGCAACAAAGGAGTGGCTCAAGAAGAAGCACATTAAGGTCCTGGAGTGGCCTATCCAGTCTCCAGACCTTAATCCCATAGAAAATCTGTGGCGGGAGCTGAAGGTTCGAGTTGCCAAACGTCAGCCTCGAAACCTTAATGACTTGGAGAAGATCTGCAAAGAGGAGTGGGACAAAATCCCTCCTGAGATGTGTGCAAACCTGGTGGCCAACTACAAGAAACGTCTGACCTCTGTGATTGCCAACAAGGGTTTTGCCACTAAGTACTAAGTCATGTTTTGCAGAGGGGTCAAATAATTATTTCCCTCATTAAAATGCAAATCAATTTATAACATTTTTGACATGCGTTTTTCTGGATTTTTTTTGTTGTTATTCTGTCTCTCACTGTTCAAATAAACCTACCATTAAAATTATAGACTGATAATTTCTTTGTCAGTGGACAAACGTACAAAATCAGCAGGGGATCAAATACTTTTTTCCCTCACTGTAGCTCCATTCTTTTTTATCCTGAAAAACTCCCCAGGCCTTAACAATGACAAGCATACCCATAACATAATGCAGCCACCATTATGCTTGAAGATATGGCGAGTGGTACTCAGTAATGTGTTGTATTGGATTTGCTCCAAACGTTCATTACCAAAAGTTAATTGCTTAGTGCCTTGTTGCAAACAGGATGCATGTTATTCTGTACAAGCTTCCTTCTTTTCACTCTGTCAATTAGGTTAGTATTGTGGAGTAACTACAATGTTGTTGATACATCCTCAGTTTTCTCCTATCACAGCCATTAAACTCTGTAACTGTTTTAAAGTCACCATTAGTCTCATGGTGAAATCCCTGAGTGGTTTCCGTCCTCTCCGGCAACAGAGTTAGGAAGGATGCCTGTATCTTTGTAGTGACTGGGTGTATTGATACACCATCAAGTTTAATTAATAACTTCACCATGCTCAAAGGGATATTCCATTTATATTTACCCATCTACCAATAGGTGCCCTTCTTTGCGAGGTATTGGAAAACCTACCTGATCTTTGTGGTTGAATTTGTGTTTGAAATTCACTGCTTGACTGAGGCATGTTAAACACAGAGTGAGTCCATACAATTTATTATGTGACTTTTTAAGCACATGTTTACTCCTGAATTTATTTAGGTTTGCCATAACAAAGGGGTTGAATACTTGTTGACTAAATACATTTTTCAGCTTTTCATTTTTTATTAATTTGCAAAAATTTGTAAAACATACTTCCACTTTGACATTATGCATACAGAAATGTAACTCGATTACTGGTCCTGTTTCAGGCATAAATTCTGCAGAATTCACTATTTATTATGCTTTCAGAGTTTGTCTTACATGTTTTGATTTGTATTCATGTCGTAAATAAATGTCTAAGCAATCTACAATCCTGTTCTTGAAGTAGGCCAGTGACAAAAAATCTGTAACACAACAAAATGTGGAATAAGTCAAGGGGTGTGGATACATTCTGAAGGCACTGTAGGTGAGTTGGGTCAGCTACATGCTTGTATACTCAGTGTAAGTATACATACACACCCTTTCTTCTGAATTGACACCCCTAATTTTGGAATCCCCAATGACACCAGTCCGGAGGACACACTGGAGAAGACTTACACGCCCTCCCTCAAGACTCTGGAGGAGGAGGTTATGGAGAAGCTGGGCATCGAAGAGCCCAGGAGGAACCGGAAGACCTATTGGTACTGAGGGGAGAGACCCTTTGGTGTCTGGGCCACACAGCCATGGGTTGGGTTGGGGCATTGCATCCATGGTCTCCCTCCCCCTTCTTGTTTCCGCATTGGTCACCACGGGGGAAAAATTAGTGACTGCTCTTTATGGACCTACTGTAGGCCTACAGTGGGGGAAAAAAGTATTTAGTCAGCCACCAATTGTGCAAATTCTCCCACTTAAAAAGATGAGAGAGGCCTGTAATTTTCATCATAGGTACACGTCAACTATGACAGACAAAATGAGAAAAATAAATCACATTGTAGGATTTTTTATGAATTTATTTGCAAATTATGGTGGAAAATAAGTATTTGGTCAATAACAAAAGTTTCTCAATACTTTGTTATATACTTTGTTATATAATGGGGCCATGTATCGTGAGATTTTGAGTGAAAACCTCCTTCCATCAGCAAGGGCATTGAAGATGAAACGTGGCTGGGTCTTTCAGCATGACAATGATCCCAAACACACCGCCCGGGCAAAGGGTATATAACAAAGTAATGAGAAAATCACATTGTAGGATTTTTTATGAATTTATTTGCAAATTATGGTGGAAAATAAGTATTTGGTCAATAACAAAAGTTTCTCAATACTTTGTTATATACCCTTTGTTGGCAATGACACAGGTCAAACGTTTTCTGTAAGTCTTCACAAGGTTTTCACACACTGTTGCTGGTATTTTGGCCCATTCCTCCATGCAGATCTCCTCTAGAGCAGTGATGTTTTGGGGCTGTCGCTAGGGCAACACGGACTTTCAACTCCCTCCAAAGATTTTCTATGGGGTTGAGATCTGGAGACTGGCTAGGCCACTCCAGGACCTTGAAATGCTTCTTACGAAGCCACTCCTTCGTTGCCCGGGCGGTGTGTTTGGGATCATTGTCATGCTGAAAGACCCAGCCACGTTTCATCTTCAATGCCCTTGCTGATGGAAGGAGGTTTTCACTCAAAATCTCACGATACATGGCCCCATTCATTCTTTCCTTTACACAGATCAGTCGTCCTGGTCCCTTTGCAGAAAAACAGCCCCAAAGCATGATGTTTCCACCCCCATGCTTCACAGTAGGTATGGTGTTCTTTGGATGCAACTCAGCATTCTTTGTCCTCCAAACACGACGAGTTGAGTTTTTACCAAAAAGTTATATTTTGGTTTCATCTGACCATATGACATTCTCCCAATCCTCTTCTGGATCATCCAAATGCACTCTAGCAAACTTCAGACGGGCCTGGACATGTACTGGCTTAAGCAGGGGGACACGTCTGGCACTGCAGGATTTGAGTCCCTGGCGGCGTAGTGTGTTACTGATGGTAGGCTTTGTTACTTTGGTCCCAGCTCTCTGCAGGTCATTCACTAGGTCCCCCCGTGTGGTTCTGGGATTTTTGCTCACCGTTCTTGTGATCATTTTGACCCCACGGGGTGAGATCTTGCGTGGAGCCCCAGATCGAGGGAGATTATCAGTGGTCTTGTGTGTCTTCCATTTCCTAATAATTGCTCCCACAGTTGATTTCTTCAAACCAAGCTGCTTACCTATTGCAGATTCAGTCTTCCCAGCCTGGTGCAGGTCTACAATTTTGTTTCTGGTGTCCTTTGACAGCTCTTTGGTCTTGGCCATAGTGGAGTTTGGAGTGTGACTGTTTGAGGTTGTGGACAGGTGTCTTTTATACTGATAACAAGTTCAAACAGGTGCCATTAATATAGGTAACGAGTGGAGGACAGAGGAGCCTCTTAAAGAAGACGTTACAGGTCTGTGAGAGCCAGAAATCTTGCTTGTTTGTAGGTCCATAATTTGCAAATAAATTCATTAAAAATCCTACAATGTGATTTTCTGGATTTTTTTCTTCTCAATTTGTCTGTCATAGTTGACGTGTACCTATGATGAAAATTACAGGCCTCTCTCATCTTTTTAAGTGGGAGAACTTGCACAATTGGTGGCTGACTAAATACTTTTTTCCCCCACTGTATATCTGTGTGTTAAAGAAATGTTACCAATTCCACATCGCTCAGTCCAGATGGATATCAGTGGAAATGGGTTGAGTGAGTACAGTAACGTGATGGGAACCATCATGTGCATACAGAAATGTAACTCGATTACTGGTCCTGTTTCAGGCATAAATTCTGCAGAATTCACTATTTATTATGCTTTCAGAGTTTGTCTTACATGTTTTGATTTGTATTCATGTCGTAAATAAATGTCTAAGCAATCTACAATCCTGTTCTTGATTTGGCTTTAAGTTTTCCTAGATAATGGGAGATAAAATATTAATAGAAATAAGCCTAATGTTTCTGTGCTCCAAATTAAGTATGTACAACGCTGTAAATGCTACAACTGCACTTGTTGTAGAATTGGCTCATTTAGTTATCCATTCAGATGTTGAACAAGTGGTCTTGTCAAAGCATCCCTAAGTAAACTTATGCCTAAGACTTAGATTAATGTGTAAAGCTGCAATGGCATCTCGTTGTTACCAAAACTGCACAATCAGCAACTAATTCAAGCTTTTTAAACAGGGGTTTACTTTGCAGGACAGGACTTGGCATTTGAGGGACAGTTTGACAGATAGACAGCTCAGAATTTGACAGATGGGCTGAAATCAGAGTTAACAAAGATGTCAAGGCTCTAAACTTTGAGCCAAAGCAAATGCAGTGGCAGGAAAAAGAATAAGCCTCCTGTAAATTGGTCTGGGAGGATGAAGTAGAAAATACCGTAAGTCATTACTCATCTTGGGAAAGCTCACAGCCACTTTGGCCATTTATTATATGTTAAAAATATATATATTATACTACTGGGGCCAGGGTGTAATAATGCCCTTTAGCCATTTTAAGCTTTAAGACAAATGTCTGTGTCTCTCTTTCCAATCGGTCTGGAGGAAAGAGACGAAGGACCAAGTAATGAAATTACTCCAGAAGTAAATCCCTAGCTAGAGAGTGGCATGGAGCGGGAAGTCTTCTCAATAGGCCCACACTTGCCTCACTTGACTAGCAGGGCTCTCCAACCCTGTTCCTGGAGAGCTACCTTTCTGTAGGTTTTCACTCCAACCCTAATCTAGCACACCGGATACTAATAATTAGCTGGTTGACAAGCTGAATCAGTTTAGTTACAACTGAGGTTGGATTGAAAACCCACAGGGTTGGAGAGCCTTGGACTAGGTTATGTCGTTTATATACAGTGGGAAAAAAAGTTTAGTCAGCCACCAATTGTTCTCCACTAAAAAGATGAAGAGGCTCTGGTAACGTCACTTACCAATGAAAAAAAAAATCCAGAAAATAATGAGTTTTTTGAATTATTTGAGAGTATTGGTCACTTGTCAAGACCTAACTTTCTTAGAGGTCTCTTCCCCTCGTACTGTATTAACACCGTTGAACTTGTTACGTATAAAAGTCACAACCTCAAACAGTCACACCAGAAACAAAATTGTAGACCTGCACCAGGCTGGGAAGACTGAATCTGCAATAGGTAAGCAGCTTGGTTTGAAGAAATCAACTTTTTGGAGCAATTATTAGGAAATGGAAGACATACAAGACCACTGATAATCTCCCTCGATCTGGGGCTCCACACAAGATCTCACCCCGTGGGGTCAAAATGATCACAAGAACGGTGAGCAAAAATCCCAGAACCACACGGGGGGACCTAGTGAATGACCTGCAGAGAGCTGGGACCAAAGTAACAAAGCCTACCATCAGTAACACACTACGCCGCCAGGGACTCAAATCCTGCAGTGCCAGACGTGTCCCCCTGCTTAAGCCAGTACATGTCCAGGCCCGTCTGAAGTTTGCTAGAGTGCATTTGGATGATCCAGAAGAAGATTGGGAGAATGTCATATGGTCAGATGAAACCAAAATATAACTTTTTGGTAAAAACTCAACTCGTCGTGTTTGGAGGACAAAGAATGCTGAGTTGCATCCAAAGAACACCATACCTACTGTGAAGCATGGGGGTGGAAACATCATGCTTTGGGGCTGTTTTTCTGCAAAGGGACCAGGACGACTGATCTGTGTAAAGGAAAGAATGAATGGGGCCATGTATTGTGAGATTTTGAGTGAAATCCTCCTTCCATCAGCAAGGGCATTGAAGATGAAACGTGGCTGGGTCTTTCAGCATGACAATGATCCCAAACACACCGCCCGGGCAACGAAGGAGTGGCTTCGTAAGAATTATTTCAAGGTCCTGGAGTGGCCTAGCCAGTCTCCAGATCTCAACCCCATAGAAAATCTTTGGAGGGAGTTGAAAGTCTGTGTTGCCCAGCGACAGCCCCAAAACATCACTGCTCTAGAGGAGATCTGCATGGAGGAATGGGCCAAAATACCAGCAACAGTGTGTGAAAACCTTGTGAAGACTTACAGAAAACGTTTGACCTGTGTCATTGCCAACAAAGAGTATATAACAAAGTATTGAGAAACTTTTGTTATTAACCAAATACTTATTTTCCACCATCATTTGCAAATAAATGCATTAAAAATCCTACAATGTGATTTTCTGGATTTTTTTTCCTCATTTTGTCTGTCATAGTTGACGTGTACCTATGATGAAAATTACAGGCCTCTCTCATCTTTTTAAGTGGGAGAACTTGCACAATTGGTGGCTGACTAAATACTTTTTTCCCCCACTGTACCCAGTCACCTCTGTGGGAAGCTGAATATGTGTGACGTTATTCAAACTTTTACCACAAGGTGGTGCGCAAAACACTACTGCAAGTTGTAGATGATGGCTAAGAAGGGGAAAGCCCCCATAAAAAAACAATACTGATGTACTGAACTGTTGAAAATCGATGATTTATAATTGATTCTTTACTTTTTATTTTATAGACGTGTAATGATATTCTGTCGGTCAATAGTGAAAAACCTACTGTTTTCCTTAGTCAACTGAAAAGCAGTCTTCATAAGTCTGTTTTTGTCACTAACCACGTTTCCATCCACAGTTTTTATGTGAGTAAAGTCATACCATTTAGAACAAGTCAGAACAGGTGTGATTGGAACA